ATATATATATATATATATATATATTCTGCCCAAAATACTAATTACATGTTTCGTGGCAGTTGTAATTATATGAACAAACACTAGTTACTCTTGCTATCTTTTAATTTTCGAAACATTATGTATAGTATATACCATGAAAAAAAATTAACAGCCCACTACAAAATTCTGTTTTCAACTTACTGCAGAGAATTCATCAAAGGAAATTTTGCCATCTCCATCCTGATCAGCTAAGATAATAGTTTTGTCCACTATCTGCTGTAACTGTGTGTCTTTTAGGTTGTTGCCCACCATCATTTTTAACACTTGGAACAATTCTCCATTTGAAATAAAACCATCTTTGTCCATATCATAGATTTTAAATGCAACTGAAATAATAACAAAATTATAATAAATGCAAGCTGAAAAAAGAAAGATAATTTTGTTATAATAAATGAAGTTAAAAAGACACCAGTACTGACCATATAGTTATTATGAGTAATTAAAAAAAAAATCTCCAGGCACAAGAAACACCCACACAAACTGGGAACAGGGATATTCAATACCAGAAGTGAGCAAAAATAATCTGATGGATGATACTACACAGCTCAAATGCTTTATTTATATTCATCTTTGATAGTGCTGATGACCTTTTCCTCAGAATGTTTTGTTAACATCATAGCATTCATCTACACTTTCCCTGTCTTCATGAGGAATTTAGCTTTTTGTACTACATGAAAGCCCCAAGACTACTACACCATAACATGATTAGCCTTGGAAATATTCAAAGATCAAAAGCAATTGAATTACTTACACTTAAGTTTAGATTCTTTGTCCCCTTTTACGCTAAATTGTGAAACACCTTGGATGAATTCTGAAATATACAAAATTAAACAAAATTTAGCACCTTTCAAGAAAAGAAATAAACCAATCTAAATGGAGCTTTCTCTGAAACGAATATATTTACTTAAAGCAATAAATCAGACATTTCCTTATACATCAACCCATTGCCCCATCCATATTTAATTGCTTCCAGTGTTTCAGGGATATCCCTCCCACGCTAGGGATGGTATAAGCACTCCAAAGGATTCTAATTAAGTGTAGAAGCATACATTGGATGCCACTTTTAATCAGCCTCTCCTGCTTCTTTCTATGATCAGTCTCTCTTTCCATTTGTACAGAAAGTAACACTTTTCATCTTCACTTAATTTTTGGGGTTGTAATACTTTCAGGTTACTTGCCATGTTTTTTTTTTCTTTTTGTGTATTTCTAAGAAAGGGCATTTTATACAACTTTGAATTTAAGCAGCATGCTTCAGTTTTGCTTCTTTCGTTTTGCGTTTCAGTGTTTTTATAACATTTCTCTACAAATCAGTAAATCTAACCCCATGCTATGTCATATTTAAACCCTGCCCAGACAAGAAGATTTCATCCGCAAAAGTTGATGAAAAACTCAAACAGCTTGCCATAAAAATCACAGACAAAGAGAACTCTTTTTAGTATTTCATACACAATTGATTTGTTTGTCTCACATTGTTTCACAGAAAATTCTTCAAAATCAGCCTCATTTATACTCATAATGTCTGAAAATTTTGATCAAGGTATTGTCATGAAATGAATATCTAAAGCATGGAAATATTGCTCCTCATGCTCCACTGGGATTCCTCGGATATCATCCAGGTTATCTACACTTGTCTCTAATTGACCCATATTGATTATTTGCAAGTGTGCAGAATTAAATAAAGCATAAAATATATACACCCAACATTGAAAATAACAAGGTTGGAATCCACACCTTTTTGATCGACATCTGTAATAAGATGAGGCCAATAAAAGCCTAGGCTACTGTTAATCAGTCTCGGAAGTATATCTTGAACAACACCTGTAGCAATGGCCCGAGTACAACAGAATATTATACTGGATTGTTGACTTAATTTTCTGGAACATTTCATCTGGGATTATAGGCACATATGTAAAACAGAGCATGAAAGTGCAGCTACCTTCATATTGATTTACAGCAAATGCTTGAATGATGATTTCCTTTCATTGATTATCACTCTCCAAGCTTTCCTATCATTCCTTTTAAGCATCAGACCACTGCCAAAGCCCATGAACAACTTACTAGTTGACTAATGAAAATGTTTTGCGCAATACAAAAACCTAACCTTGGCGGATGGAAGCTGGGTTGTGCATGTATTGAATTAAAGAAATAAAATATCTTTTATAATACCCAGCTGTTCCTGATGTAGTCATAAATCACATTTCTATTGATTTCATAGATCATCATTCATAAACAGTGAGTGTAAGCATTCACACTAATACACAGACCCATGGCAACATTTGTGGTATTTCTGACTGAGAAATGTATGTATACATTTCACTCCAAAACACAGTGGCAATACCAAAATGCCCGTTTAGACAAATAATGTTATTCTAAATCACAACAATGGCATGTTTTTTATGCTGTACAGTACTGGAAATAAATAACACATGGAAGTATCCATGGGGAAAATGAGAATATCATTATATCTAGGAAATATTGCACCTGCTCCATTTCATTGTATATACCTTACTTCTACCTTTTCTACAGTTAGAAAAATTACCCCATTATACATACATAATATGTAGCCACGGCTTACTTAATATTTATATCATTGTGGAATCTTGGCATCTTACTCACCTTTGAAGTCAACTTCCCCATTTCCGTCTTCATCAAATATATCTATGACTCTCTGTACAAGTGGGTTTTGTTGAAGCTCTGGTAAGGACATAAATTCATCAACGCTTAAAGAACCAGAGTTGTCCAAGTCCAGTTTTTTAAAACGCTTCCCAAGCCTTTTGATTTCATCTGCATCAACTGTAGAAGACAAACAAATGATAATGAAAGCAAGTAGCAGTGCTAGTGTATATCAATATGGTAAATAGGGTAAATATAACTGAAACAACACGTGCATCATCTGACATATTTTTTAAGGTTTACATTGCATGGCCATAATACTTTATTACATAAAAGAAAAAACCTGATAAATAGTATGCAACGTGAAATAAATTATTAATATTCTTAGTTGATAATCACTGTCATTCTATTTAGACAATAAAAGCAATGTAACACTTAAAATGCAATACCATGAGAGCCTACGGAAATCTCAACATGCAATGTCAAGGAGTGCAAAAAAAAAAAAAAAACAAATTTGGACATAATATGTCTATTTGGCCTTCTCACTGAATGTGATTGACATTTAAATAGCTCAAATAGAACATTAATCATTAAGTGCTGTGATTTGCCAATACAGCAGTCATAAAGGAGGAATTCAGAAGTAACAATTAGGATCTCACTTTATATCTTTAAAACCCAATCAAATTGTATAAAAAAGTTTCAGAGGCATGCAGAGTCTCCATAAATCAGTTAGTGTCATGATGAACACTATATAGTATACCAAATAATGTAAATTCTTCTTGAAATAAAAATTAGCAATTAATACTGATTTTTAAATATCATTATAAAACTGTTTTTAAGTTAAAAAAAATGACATAAATGTGTGTAAGAAAAATATTAACTATGAGCAATTTTCAATGACTTGACACTTCAATCAATTGTGAACACTGGTCGTTTTTAACAATACAACATACATAAGGGCAGGAGTTAGTGTAACTGTAGGAGTACAAGTTGTACAACAGTTGCCACATTCAGGGTAATGACAAAAACATCACTTGTCCATTTATAACATCTACAAAACTGTAGAAATAAACCTGGAACAAAGTACATATTAATACATATATACATTTTTTTAGATGACTCGGTGTGTGATTAAGTTATCAAAGATCCAGTAAATCTATGTAAGCGTAAATAATGATAGAAGGGATCTAAAGCTGCCTGTTATAACATTTTTCTTTCCTATTTCAACCACAGTGTTTGTAATAAACTGACTGAACTTCCTGGTGTGTTCCTGCAGAAGATCCTCTGGGGAGCATACATCTGTATACATAATCAATACTGAATTCAATGTCCAATAAATACAGACACTTTCTTCTTACAAAATGTACAGAAACCAAACAATCTCGTAATAAAGGACATAAATGAAAAACTTTCAAAATGTCATCCACAAAACATACATCAACTAAAAATGACAGCATGTCAATATACATAAAATATCTTTCATGAGGTAATTGGTTTAAGGTTTAATTTGGTTACCAGATTCTGTGTAACAATTGCCATATCAACCTATTTGAATCAAATCCTCTAAATGCCTGATAGCATTTACACATAATTACGAAACCCACATAATCTAAATCACCTTGATATCCAAGAAAAAATAGCATAAAGTAGGTACTAAGGGCAAGATGATTATCAACAGCAACAATGCTTTGGGCATATTCTTATATTAAATATATTCATAATTGAGAAAATATATAATATAACACCTATGTTCGCGTGATTTCACAAGTAAGTGAAAAATCACATGCAGATACCTGTAACTAATGGAAACGCAATATTTTCTCTTGGGGGGGGGGGGGGGGGGCACTGGTGCTTGCATAACTTTGCAAGTATAAAAGCATAAACGTCCCTGCACTACACAATACTATGGGATCTAAAAATATGTTTAAGCAGTTGGCTTGCTCCAATTCCCTTTCAATTATGGTGTGCCCTGTACCTGCCAAAGTTTAGGAACCATGAGGTGTAAAGGGCATGGCACCTCAGGGAAGCCTGCTCTCAGGTGTCTTACATAGAAACTACCTGACGCCAAAGATAATCATTTTTAAAATAAAAACAAAAAGGGAAAAAAATAAAATAAACTGCAAGCATCGTAAGTATGACTGCTTTTAAAAGTTTTGATATAAAAATTAATATTATTATTATTATTATTATTATTATTATGATGATGATGTTATACATCATCATCATAATAATAATGATAACAATAATGATGATAAACACAACCAAACAAACAATCAATAATTTAATTTACTCCAGAGTCTTAAAATTCTCTCTCTTGTGAAATAATATGACACAAACAGAGAAAACAAGATGTTCTTTTCATTGTAGTCTCACAGAGTATCACCCGCATACAGACTTGTATGCAAAGATTAAGTTGGATTTTCAGGCAATGACATAAAAAAGGAAGAAAATGACTTTTTTCATGAATAAAACAGCCAACAAAGAGTAAAGTGACAAATGAACATGCATAGAACTGAAATCAAGCCAACTACTAAAATTTTGGTCTCTGGTGTCACAGAAATATCTGTTCCAAAATAAAATAACATAATATAGACTACAGTATACAAATCAGTTGTCAATTAACTGACTCATGAATTGAAACTCACAGCTGGTTTTGCATATGTCTATGCTTGGGACAGGAATCCTGTAGATAGCTTAATGTCATCAAAATGATGATTCTCCAAAAATCAATAAGAGGACCCTGGAACATAGTGTATATGCCAGAGCAACACATACCAGCAACAGCCTCAGTCTTGATTGAATTACATGAGCAAAAGAAATGCTACACACAAAAGGCCATGAAAACAAATGTCTCTTATGTGCTGGTATGAATATCACGTTAATTGTTTGTAGATTTTGCTCTGGAGTAAGTACCAGGATATGTGCCTTGCAACTGGCATTTGGCAAGTCGTAGCTCATTTAAGAGTGCTTATTCACTTCATCCAGAAACAGGTTTCCTGCTCCTGGCAGTAATAAATAAGTTGATTTATTGTCAACTTGGGAGGCTATTGGTTTGTTAAAGTCGCAAGGTAAATGTACATCTGTGGCTACACTTACCAGTCATGCATGTACAGTTTAGTCATCAATATATATATATATATATATATATATATATATATATATATATATATATATATATATATATATATATATATATATGTATGTATATACCTACACAAGTGGGTGGATATCCTGAATCATATTTTTGAGGGGTATCTTTTAATAAAGCGACCAACATTTCATCATCCTGTGGTGCAATTTAGTCTCAAACACCACTAGGATAAGAGGGCAGGGTTACTTACAAGAAAGTGACAACATCAATTTCCAACAGGAAGTTTGGACCATAACACATCGCACAACCATGATGCCATCCAATCAGATAGAGATATTATGCAACTGAAGCAGGTGGGGTTCGCCAATTATTTCTTAACCATAGAAGAGGTTGGAGAGAAAGAAACACGATCCAACCACTTGGCTCTGAAGAGGCAATAGAGCACCATCGACAAACATACATACAGACATTAAGGAATGAAACAATCAATTAAAGCCTTGGAAAAGATCAGAAATTTAAAAGTTGTGTTAAGTACAAGAGTTCAGAACTTGTAATATGAGGATGGACAATTCTTTTAAATTAACTCCAAAACATGCACGAATAAGTTATTATATAACTTCTTATATATAAAGTCATTATATCACAAAACCCTGTGACAAATGTGATGACTATACTCTTCTGATATGTTTGTATTTTCCAACACTGAAATAAAACGCCATTTGTGCTATATTTTTGAAATTATAAAAAGTTCCATTTCTTTTAAACATGTTATTCTGAGGGAATAAACAGTAAATGTTATTCATCTCACACAATCAAATTGCAGAGGGAACTGCCAAAATATACAAAATATATACCAGACAGTGTCAAATCCCAATACTTTGGAGATAATTCACAAATCAACACAATAAGAAAGTAATTTGCACACACTTTGCTGAAAAAAAAAAAATTCAAGATAAAAACAACAATATCAAATTTAGAATATCAAATCACTGCAAATTTGTCCAACTTCTCACACATTACATAAACAAGCCAAGAGTCACACTTCTAGGTAAAAAGAAACCAGATACTGACACAACTGTTTAGAAGACAGAGCTGAAAACAGTAGAAAACAATAACAATACTTACAAAGGGGGGTATCACCTGTGCTTACTTACAGAAAAATAAACAGAAGTTCATCAGAAGTCTGCAGTAGCCATGTTAGTTTAAAATTTATCAACTTTTCAATAATATAATGTGAGATATGCCCTCTCTTGAAGTAATTTATGTTACTCTTAAAATGCTGCTGACATCAGATAATGCATTTTACTTGGGAGGGGGGGGGTGGGTGGGTGGGGGAGCGGCGGCTGCCAGTTCAGATACATTTCTGGGCAAGACTTCTGAATGTGTGATGGATACTATTAAAGGCATTTTGCTGATCATCTCAGCTGTTCAATATCACCAAACAAATTAAACAAAACATTTTTTGATAAGTAATATCCTTTACGTTTAACCTGGACTGTGTTTGGAACACATTCACAAATCATGGCTGCTACCTACATGACTTCAACTTGTGCTATACTAGTAAACACATTTATCTGTGCATGTGCCAGTGGAACATGCATTATGTCAGAATAATGATCAAACTGCTCTTGGAGTGAGTGCATTATGTCAGCATAACAAAAACACGAAAGGTAACGAATTCAGAGGGATAAGTACAGAGGGTTATCTTAAGTAGATCGCCCAAGGGGAAGTAATCGTTAACAACGCACCTCTTAACAATAAGGCCACTATTAGTGTATTCAACTGATAGCATTAACAGTTTGTTGATTCAACTGATTATGTTAACAAAAAAGCAAATATAGCACTATAAAGGCCAAATTCTACTTCTTTTGAAATGTTTACAATATGATTTTAATAAAAGTTAAATTGGTTTGGAGTTACATGTAAGGTGATGTTGACTTTGAAATTGAAGCAAGATTTATTCCAAATGTACCTACACTCCTACTGAAAGCAAGTTGTTTTTATGCTATCAAAGCATTATTCAACACCAAACAAAATCATGTAAGGACTAGATGTCCAAGGCCCAATTCCCATAGACACATCAGTCTACGTGGATCGACCCAATTCTATTGGAATTCTCACTGAATGCAATCAGTTTAAATAGTACAGAAAAGACGGTGATTATACAAGTACTTTGGGAACAAGGTGAGGTGTACTATATCATTCAATTTGCACTCAGCAAGAGTCTCTGCAGAGTTGAGTCGATCCATGTAGACAGATCAATGGAATGGGGTGAAAGATAAACATGGATTTTTGTTCAGTGTCATAATATATTTCACCATCATGAGAGTGCACTGTTACCTTAAAACCATTTAGTACAATAAAAGAGATCACCAAGATTATGCCAATAAAGGAAATAAAAAATTATGACAGTCTCACTGGAGTAACTTTATACAATTTTTGGCTGCTTCTTTTACTTAATTAAATTTAAAACCATTCTGTTGACTCAAGGGCTATCAGGTTTCATCTTATCCAATGAGTCGCACCGTGCATGATTCAATTTTTTTCTCATGACATTTGATATAACTAATTATTTCAGATAAAACTCTACAGAGGAGGATGATACCAGGAAAAGATGATGATCAGCACAGCCCTTTGCCCTTCAACGACATCTGTATCTCTCAAAGGCAACTCAATCTCTGAACCACATGCAATAATTATCTTCAGATTTCGTTTCAGTTCATTCAACAATTGGCCGACAAATCATGTCAATTGTGTGTTTCTTCCTATAGTCTAAAAATATCCATCATTTATCTACTTCCATACTTAAGCAAGAAATACATTTCATTTTCAGCGTCTTCCACACATTTTCAAATTCTTTGTTCAGGTGGCACCAATTTTGGTTTTCAATATTTGCCCCTTTGAGTTTCTTAATTGTGTGCCCCTATTCTTGTTAAATTTTGCACAATACATATGATAAATTATTACATATTGTATCTATATTTTAATACTAACTTGTACACTACTTAAACATCCATGACAATATCACACCCAAAAAGTACTCTACAAAAAATTGTAAATATTACATAGTGATATGCCACAAGCCTATACTATCCATGCTACTGCTGCCTGATGAAGTCTTTCCTGTGCCAGATAATGAAACTAATGGATTCATGATAAAAATCAATAAGTTTGCAGGTTTGTCAGTGTGAAGTAGAATATGCAAGATACTTACATGTGGAGCACAGCTCCAAAGGAAGGGAGGTTTCGTTTCCCTGAAATACATGAAAGCAATAATTAATTACATTTCACAAGAAAGATAATGCCTTTTTTAAAATTTCACTGTGCTCATGTTTACAAAACAAACCCTTAAGTATATTTGGAGGTAATAATGCTCAATGTATAGACAGCTAATTCAACATGAACCCTTGCATGTTGTTACTAAAATAATAAATATAAAGAACAAATTACCTTCTGAGCATCGCTAAACTACAATTTTGGTATTTAAAAACAATATTTACTAGTGGGAGGGTATCATTGGTAATTCTTTTCTATTTTTTGTGGGAAAGCAACATAATCTAGCAATTACCAGTGACTTATAATGCATACAAGATTTGCATTGAGTACACAAAGCATAACCTTAGTTAATGCAAATCCCAATATATCTACATGACAATATAGTATTGACAAAACGTAATGGGTTGCTCTTACACTTCTCAATTCTAATGTGCCTGGGCAAATCTATATCCATGATATACTAGACCAGGTCATTGTTGTGAAATTATTGCACCAATTAACAAGCATTAAGTCTTTGATGAACATTTTATATTTTATAACAGTTTAAACATTGGTCAATTCTAGTCAGAGAAGTATATCTCCTGAATAGCCTCATTCCCTGCTGAAGATGCTCTGTTAGACATCGAAATATTGGAGGTAAACTATTTCAATATTAAGCTGTTGATTGAAGAAAAAATTATTGGTTTATTCTAATAATTCTTGCTTCATTCTAAGCTTTACACACTATTTCAATAGATGAGTTGTTCCGAAGGTGATCAATGTAATAGATATCTAGATTAAAGCCATAATATACAATCAAAATGAATACTGTATTTATGCATTGTTTTTTTTTTTTTCATTTGGTTTGCCATGGCTATTGATGAAATTTACTTATCACATTTTCAAAGTTTATTGAGACCTTTACGGTGAAATAAGATATCAGGAGTAAAATTGACAAACCACAATTCTCCAATTCTTTCAAGAATTCAGATAATATTATGTATAGTGTATTAAATCTCATGTATCACACTTAAACACCTAATGTCAAATACAATTTTCCTTTCAAACCTGATAACAATGAGGTATTGATTTCTTTGACCCCCTGATCACATGTACAAATATGTGATTTTTTTCTGTATAAATAAGCATGAAGTCATGAGAAAATTATTTATTTGACCATCTATCATGTAGATAAACCCAAGATGAAGAGTGACTTTTTTTGGTTTGGTTACAGACATTTACAAATAGAGCATCACACATCTTTAAGTCTCATATATTCACTATAAAATGTTTACTATATGTGCATCTTTCTGACTACAAATATTAAATTTAAGATAAAGGGGAGCACTGACTAGCACTTTCTTTATTCACCTGCTCATGTTATTTTAACTTAGATATAAGTCATTTCATAACTGTGTCTTTTTACCCAATGCATCTTTTTAATATGTCTGGCACAAATATGGTTAATTTAGAAGAGGTAACAGAAAACACCTGATTTCATACAATTAATCATGGCACTAAATTTGTTCAATGGTTTAACACTTAGCTGTGCAGTTTAGTTGATATGATGGCCCACGTACAAATTCACACATTATACTACCTGGGTTAGTCCAACTCTGCCGGGGATTCTTGCTAAAGTGCAACCAATGGAATAAGCTTAATTGTCTAACATGCCTCTCCGAGCAGCTAGGGGGTAATTAACTATCGTGTGCTAATTACGCTGATTTCACTGATTGCATTTTAGCGAGAATCTCCTGCAGAATTGGACTAGCCCAGCTGATACAGTGTGGGAATCTGAATGCACCAGTAGTACTTCTAAAGAGTCAATTTAGTTTAAAAAAAAATATTCAGTCCAAGGCCAATCGTAACTTCTTGTTGTAAAACCCATATGAGATTAGTGAGTTAAGAGGCTGACACAGTGAAAGTTGGGCATGATTACAAAATGATTGAGAACCAGGTACATTCAAGCATCTGCTTCCTGGAGGTAAGACTAAACATCTTTTGTCAAAATGGATCCGAATGTGACTTTGGTTGGCAAAGCAGTAAAACTACACAACATGTTATTAAGGTGGAGTCCTTAAAAGCCGTTACTACTCAATTACTGTATATCAATATTGCCTGACCATTTTCTGTTCTTACATCTGTCACATTTATAAATCATGATCATTTATTCCTTGACGTTTATGTTTGTGAATACAATTCAGTTTCAAAACTGGATCAATTTATGACATTGGCAACAGGGCTGAATATGAAATTAATAAAGCTTAAACAAAATACATTGTACAAATTCCAGCTAAGAACACTACATTGTAATTTGTATCTATGGAAATAGCCTACGGAATCCATCTTTATTATATCATAGAAATTCCATTCAGCTTAATGTTAAGAGGGTTAGAACGGAGTTATATATAAATTTTATTTATCCATTACAACGCCTTTCTTAAATATATCTTACTATTTCACGTGCACTACCTATCACATCTTTCAAACGAATACCTACAACTGAGGATCTGATCAAACACTGATCGACTAGTTCATGACAGTTACTGCTGACTACAGTTCGAGTAGCCTCAAGTCATATTAAAATAAGAAACCTTTGGTTCCATTCAGGGTTGGGAAAATCTGATATGGTTTAGAAATGAAAATACGGATCTTCATTATTGCGCTTATCACGTGTTTGAATCTTAACTTACCATAATTTGCCTTCCTTTTCTCGGAGTTGTTTTGCGATCTGACCTATTCTCCAAGATCCGGGTAACTTAGCCCTGGCTCTGTATATTGGTTTTCTGACTTCCGGTGCTGAATGCAACGCAACTTCCTCTTTAGACCGGTGCAATGGCGGCTGGTGTGAGTATTGTGGACATCTGAAAGAAATCCCATATTATCGTTCACATCGTACTTGTCATGGCTTCAAAAAATCTTAAGTTCTGTGACCCTTGCTATCAGAATGATGTCAAGTGAAAATTTCTCTTAATCTTTGCTTTACAGACTCTGTATACATACCCCGAAAACTTTCGGGCACAAAAGATCCTTATTGCAGCCAAGTACAGTGGTACACAAGTCACCGTGGCAAATGATTTCAAGTTAGGGGAGAGTAACAAAAATGAAGCATTTTTGAAGAAATTCCCATTAGGCAAAGTAAGTATCTTTTATCTTGTCAGTGTGCGCGTGTGACAACAGTAATGATTTTAACCCTCAGGTACGATAATGTAACGTTATAGTAAGTCAATTATAACCAATGTTCTGGGGTGGGGCGGGTAGAAATGTATCAATATAAACAATGTGTTAGAACTAGTATTCACCTCTTGTCATATGTGCTAATGCATGAACGTATTCATAAAGTATTTATAGGTATATATAAAGTGGCGTTAAGCAAGTGAATCAGCTTAGTTTTGGAGGGTCTCTCATAATTTGCTTACTTCTCACCTCCACTAGTTGCATGAAAGGTAATGACCCGAAAAATTGTAAAATGATGACCAGCTTGCACATCCATTGTGATGCAGGAGCTGTCAAATCTTCATCTCAAAGCCCATCTCATATCTTATACTCCTGTAAAGCCAACCAGTTTTCCCAATCAACAGAGCCACAAGTTGGGTAAGATTCATCTTTTACCTGTTAGGCCACCATCATTTTAAAGTTTATGGGCTGTTATCTTTTATGTGGTAGAACAGCAGTACAAAGCAGAAATCATTCATATAAAAAGAGTGCTTACACATGAATTATTGTGCTATTACTACCACCGTCTTTTGCAAATCATAGAGTTTTCAGTTTGTAATACGTCTTTAAAACAAAGTTAAGTGGGACAAATTGTTTATTGTTCAAAAATAAAAGTCTGCTTAGAGGAATTGACGGCCAAGCATATTTATGCAGATTTACCAAAATTTCACAATGGAAAGAGCTTGTGTGTCTGTTAGAACCTCCATTTCCTCCCTGCAAACCAAGGTAGAACATAATTTATGAAATGACCTAAAAAGAAATAAGTGGGTGTGTCTGGTGAGGTACTAGTGATTCAGGCTATTTTGTTCTGAATGTTACACCACCAATAGGTCTCATTTGACATTGTTTGATAATGGGTAGATGTTCAACATTGATAAAGAAAAAGATAATTGTTTCCCCTGTCTCAGTATTTCAGCATTTTTAAGATAATTATAATTTTGTCAACTGTTTTTGGGCATGGAATATCTCAATGATAAAAGGAAAAAGTTATTGTCTGTACTGAATGCTCATTGTTTGACTGTAGTCATAATTTAATTCCTTGTAGAAAGAGGTATATGTTGATATTTTTATATTGAACGTGCATTGTACAACAGTTACATACCCAAGCAGTTATAGCATTATAAAAATGTATACACTTTTTTTCATTTTTATTTATTTATTTATATATTTTTTATTTTATTTTATTTATTTATTTATTTTTTTGGTGACAGAATTGATTGCTTTTCATAAGTTATTGTTAAGTTTTGAAGGGAATAGGGATATAAGATTATTTTTGACATGCACACGTCACATTTCTGTCGTAGTGCTTATTCAGCAGAGCATGAAGTACTAGAATAATAGTGTGATTGTTTGGAAGATTATTTAAGTAAACCATGTGATAAAATGACCATCTCTGTTTGGTTTTATAATTGGGTATTTGGAATTTGTTAAATGTTTAAGATGGTCATGATGAAGCTAGTGACTTTCCTCCTTTCAAAGATGCAGTTGTACGGTACATTGCAGCTGCATAACAAGTGGAGGTAAAATAATGAGATTTGTAAAGAGTTGTTTTCTTTCTGTGAGAGCAAAAACCTTACTGTAATCACACAAATTATGATCATCATCATCATGGTAATTGTGTAAAATAGAATAAAAAAGTTTTTTGCACTAAATGAGAATCTCTGTGATGTGGGTTAAATCTTATAGCAATAATGCTGAAACTATGCACATGGGAATGTCTTTTGGGAAAGCTAATGTCTCTCCAAATCCCACAAATACTCTAGTCTGCTATATTTTAAACCAAGCCCCCAGACTAGGCTATATATATATATATATATATATATATATATATATATATATATATATATATATATATATATATATATATAATCAGATGATAAGGAATGTTGTTCTTATGTAATAATAAATTTATATTGAAAAAAAAATTACTTAATTCTGCTTTCCTTCTAGGTGCCTGCATATGAGGCAAAGAATGGCGATTGTGTGTTTGAAAGCAATGCTATTGCTTATTATGGTAAGCAGAATGTTGGTATTTTTTATCTCTTTAAAATTTTCACCTTTTCCTTAACACTTTGAAAGATGAATTAAAATTTAATTACTGCAGTTGTTTTATTACAGTAAATACTTTATTAGCTCTACTACAAGATGACAAAAATAGTTGGGTAAACTGTAGGATATGCTAGACTGATGTAAAGTGTCTACTTGTCATTGCTGCTTTCAGTTGCCAATGAAGCCTTGAGGGGAGCCAGTCCTTCTGATGCAGCCTTTGTACAGCAATGGATCAACTTTGCTGACAGTGAAATCCTCCCAGCTGCCTGCACATGGGTTTTCCCTTGCATGGGTTTAATGCAATACAACAAACAGGTACAATATGCCACAAGAATTATTTCAAAATTTTTCGTCAAACACTGATTTCGTAAGATCAGTTGCATTGGCTAAATNATAAGATCAGTTGCATTGGCTAAATTAAAAGTGTAAACAAAAACGCACACTGGTATGATTTGATAGTAAGCATGCCATTCCTGAATACCAAAAATTTACAAGAAAAAAAAATCGATTCAAGTTAATATACATGTAAAACAAGCCTGTTACATATTTCACAAGCAAGTGATGTTTCGTGCCTCTTTTCCCTCTTAGTTAAGGAAAATTTAAATTATCATTATGTTATCCTCCTTTGTAAAGGCATGTGTGCACTCTATTGCATCTGTGTAAGACCAGGAGGTACATAAACACATAACATGCTCCACCTGTGCAGGGCTGTTGTACCTGTGACGGACTAAATCATGTCTGACAAACTACTTAAACAATGTATCTATGATTTAGTAGTTGAAGTTTTGGTGCCTGATGTTTCATCACTGTGGGGACTGAGTAATGCTATTTATTCTCATAATGGTTTGTGTAACCAATTTTGATTGATCACTTTATTATCCAGAACACCGAGAGAGCCAAGGAAGATATCAAGAAGGCGCTGGGTGTTCTCAACACTGTTCTAAGAACCAGGACGTTCCTTGTGGGAGAGAGAGTCTCTCTGGCAGATATAGTTGTTGCTTGCGATTTGCTTATGCTGTACAAGATGGTAAGTAATGGTAGGTAACAGTTGTAACAAAACTGAACATGAAGCTAAATAAGATATAAAAATTATTTGGGTCTTGCTAAAAAGAATATACCAAATAATTATGATAACTGTTACAAAACTTTCCTTTAACACTTCATTGATCTAGTTTGAAAAGCTGATTTGTTTTTAAAAACCAAACACAAAAAAGGCCTAATATTGACACATTTGCCTTCATGTTGAATAATCCCCAGCTCGTTATACAAGATCTGGGGTTGCATAAGCTGTATCCCCATCAACAGTCTTAAATTACATGAGACAGACTCAACTCAAACTTCTATAATTTTATAATTTAAAATGCCATTCATATGCTTCTAGCACATTGACTTACGTAATGGTCTGTAAACCTTTGGATAGAAATGAAGATTTATCTTTTCCTGAGTACATTATCTGAAAACCATAAATGCTTCTATTTTATTGTAGAAGTTCACTTACTTAATTGCAGGTTCTTGATCCAGCTTTCCGCCAACCATACCAGAATACAAATCGTTGGTTTACCACTCTAGTTAACCAGCCAGAATTTAAAGCAGTTCTCGGTTCTGTTGTATTGTGTGAGAAAATGGCACAGTTTGATGGTAAGAAAATTTGTCTTACATTTTGAAGAGTTGTTTTTGCAATTTCAAAAAAAACAAAAAAAAAAAAAAACATTGTGAGCATTTGTAGGTTTTACAGAACCATTTAAAAAAGTTAAAAAACAAAAGTATTTGTGGGCCAGTATTATTATTATTTGTTTGGCATTTCTGTTTCCAGCTAAAAAGTTTGCAGAACTCTCTGGAGGAGGCAAAGATAAAGGAGGTAAAAAAGAAAAGAAGGAGCAGCAGCCCAAGCAACAACCGAAGGTATAGCTTACAGTGATAATGAGATCTTGGTGTTAAATAACTTGAAAACTTGAAAATCCTCCTTTGATAAGGCATGATTGCATATTGTTGCAACTGTGTAAGACCAGGAGGTATAGCAACTGATGCCTCCACCTGTGCAGTGTTATAATACCTGTGACAGACTAAATCATATCATACATTGATGCTATATTACTATATTTATTATTAATATTATTATTTTACAATTTTGTATCATGTTAAAAATTGATGATTTGAGAATGTTGTTTAATGGTTTGTCTTTCAGATAGTATGTTAGCTGAAAACTTATATTGTTACGTGATAATAGACCTGTTACATTAATTTTCAGAGCATTCTTCCGAATTAAGAAAATCTGTGATAAAAACTAGGATATTGTAAGTGAAGTTTTCTCTTTATAAGGCTAGGAAAACACCTTTGCAAATAATGTGTGTATTTTAGGTTCATGAATTTTGATATCTTTTGGTAGAAAGAGAAACCACCAGCAAAAGAGAAAGATGAGGAGGAAGAACCAGCTCCAAAAGAACGTAAAGATCCTTTTGCTGACCTGCCTAAAGGGTGAGATTCTTTTGTATTTTCAAGACAGAAATAAAATATTTGCTACCATAGAAACTGTATGAAAAATGCTTGTGTACATTACACTTGCCATTTGAAATTCTAATTCTTATATATAACAAAACTCGCGTCCTAAAATGACCAACATGTCATTAAGCAAATGTTGAGGAAGTTGGATTGTCCCTGAATATATATAAAATACTTGCAAGTTAAAGCATGTTTGCGCTCCTAAAAATGGCCTTCCCTTTAGCATTTAACTGTATTTATAAGGATGGATTACAGATCATCCAAAATAAGAAAAGGGGTTATCATTTTGAGGTTATGAGTTTGAATGTAACATAAAAATGTGTTAAAACATAAATGATAATCCACTGAAAAGTCTTTCTTTTATATTCCAGAACTTTTGACATTGAAGAATTCAAGAGAGTGTATTCCAACAATGACACAGCTACTGTAGCTCTTCCATATTTCTGGAAGAATTTTCGACAAGGAGGCATTTTCCATTTGGCACTGTGAATACAATTATCCACAGGACCTAAAGCTAACCTTTATGAGCATAAATTTAATAAGAGGTGAGTGACAGATTAACTGAAATGGATTAAGTTGGTTAACTTTAGTGACTTTTGTGTTAGTTGGACAGTTTTAATTCCAAATTTAGCAAAATAACTGAATAAAGCGAGTTCATACTCTCTCGGCAAAACCAGGTGTTTTTGCAAAAACGGTCTTTAAATTATTTTTACTGTCATCTAATTTTTTATTTATTATTATTATTATTTTTTTATGATTTGCAGATCAACACTTCAAAAAATGTTATTGCTTTTTAGAAACTTCTAAAATATCCTAAAAATGAGGTGGTTTTTCATTTTAACAGTTAAGATATCTATTTAACCTTTTCTGACTTTGAAAATTGGTGGTTTTCAGGCTTTTTCCAGCGTCTAGATCGCTTGAGGAAGCACGGTTTTGCCAGTGTGATTCTGTTTGGTGAATCTAACAATAGTACCATCTCTGGGGTCTGGGTTTGGAGAGGACAAGGCCTAGCTTTTGACGTAAGATTACTTTTTATTGCATAAACTTTTCTTACTGCCTCTATAGAGCAGGAGTACCTGGTACTTGCTCTACTCCCAACCTCCGATATAGTTACACTTATGTCCCAGTGCAGGTATTACTAGCACTTGGTGGCCACAAACACCCTTTGTGTCACATTCAAGTTCCCTTTAACCTGCTCGATTTTGATGTCAACCTGGGCTGAAATGTGATGTTCATGTGTATAATCTTGTGTTTATCAAAGGAATTAAGGATAAGGCTGTAGCTACTGTTGAAAAAAAAAATTGGAAGGTAAAGTTGTAGTCTGAATTTTCACAAATTTTTTTTTTTTTTTGCTCGTTTTAGTTCTTAACACTGCTTGTATTTCATTAAAAAAATCTTTGTTACAGTTGAGCCCAGACCTCCAGGTTGACTATGACTCTTATAGTTGGAAGAAGCTTGATCCAGACAGCGAAGAGACCAAGAAAATGGTCAAGGAATATTTCGAATGTGAAGGGGAGTTCGGTGGCAAGAAAGTTTGTGATTACAAGATCTTTAAGTAAATTATCTGACACTGTGAACTGTGACTGGAAGATAATGATGTGACACACTTTTTTGCATAAGAAGGCATGAACGGTTGATTTGTTATGTACCAACTGAAGAAAAACTTGGTGCCTGTGTGTTGGAAAAGTAAGATGTGCATAAGAAATGAAATATGCAAATAAATTATGAAGGCAAGCTTTGTGCTTGAGACATCTGCATTACTTATTTGTGAATTTCCTCGTACAGCAAGTGATTAAAGGCTTAAAGGACAAAGTGGTGCAGAATATTCTATGAATCCCATTCTGAGTGGGTTTACCTGCAGGTCATAGTGGTAAATTTTATCTTCTAATATTTTGCAAATCGAGGCCATTTCTATGGCAAGTTCTATCAAGGGCCTTGAGTTCGATCTCGCAATTTCCACTGTTTGCTGAATCTTGTCATAACTACCGTACAAAAAATAATTTTAAAAATATGTAAATAAAATCAAATAAAAAGTCATTGAAAGTATTTTTAATAGAGATAAAAAAGAGAAGACCAATTCCAATTGAATTAAATGAAAAGGCTTAGTAATGTGTGTGTGTGTATGTGCTGGCCTTTCAACATGAAAGAAAAATGTTGGAAATCTAATTAATAAATTTTTCCAACTTCAAAGATGACCTGAAATTTGAAAAAAAAAATTAACTACAAAGGGAAAAAGTTGAGCACTTTATTTTAATTCCATTTCCTATGTAAAATTTGAATCACAGATGTTACTGGTATTTTTGTTTCACAAAAATATTGCTCAATCATGCAATGAAATCTTTGGAGTGCAATAAACATCTAAAATTACCCGGTTCTGGTAATGAAATGGTTCACTGTCTTTACACCTTTGAAACGTACGTGTTTAGATACAAACATTCACAAAAAAATTGAATGGGACTTTAAAATAGTATTGCTGGGACAACGATACAATATGGCTAACAGTGGGTTATTTAAAAAGTGATTGTGCATTTTATCCTATAAAAATATTGCTAAGCATGTATTACATAATTATGTAACGAGTTGAAAGCACTAAACCCTATCCCACTGCATGGATAAAAGGTACAAAAATAGACTAAAATTTGACTGATGTCTAAATTTCAAAATCATTTTACCTATTTATAACAGTCAAGGAAAAAATCTTCCCAATCAACAGACAACATTATGACCCTGAATTGTATCTGTAAATGATTAACAAACCCTTAGTTTGGACCATTTAAAAAATATTGCTTTTTTGCACACAAGATGTGTGTTGGGTAGATAAAATACACTCCTCTTTACATTTCACCTTCTCAAAAATAATTCTCTATAGTACAACAAAATTTACACCCAGTACCTTACATGGTATTACCTCTTGGAGATGATACTGAAGTATCCAAATGACACTGAATACTAAAATGATAGTCCAAATAATAAGCACTGCCAATATCTAGCAGTTTGAAGTCTCCCTGGTGATGGTTTAACATTTTTAATAATGCTTAATTCCCTCCATCTTCAATAGGATGGATCAACATTAACTACAATCAAGACCACATAATATGAATTTCACCAAATGGTGTCCGACTTCATAAAAGAATGTAAAAGAGACAAAACAGTTTGTAATCAAAAGTCTACCTGGTAGAAGTCAAGACATAAACAGAAGATGTGTAAAAGCATTATGCTAGTGTGAAGGAGATCAATTAATCAGATATTTTAAGAAATCGAAGGTGAAACCTCTGAATGATTCTTTCCAACATTGCACTTATCAACTATTATTTTCGATTACTACACAGATGTTACTAAGGCTTTTGAGCTTTTAAGCACCAGAGGCAACACTGATTTAGTACGAAGTGAAATTTCATAGAATTATAAAGGAGCATTCTTCAGTGGTTTAAAGTAGTAGTTTTTCAATCCACCCTATATATTTTGAACTGACTTTGGACTTTTCCCTCTAAATCTGCACTGCAAGCCCTGCTGAAGAAACATTATCCCCACCTCCAGCAGTTTGAAACACTTGGGTGCAGACAAGAACCGGAGCAACACAAAACTCGTAGTTGCCCTCTTTCCAACATGACACTGGCCGATTATTCTCAAATGAAATCCTTCTGCTTCCATGTGCCTGACTAGCAGCAAAAGATTCATCAATAATTAACCTTGCTTTTTCCAAATGAATGAAGTTGGACCCGCAGACATGGCGATTTGCTGTTAACGAGGCCTTAGCAGCAGCAGACATGGTGTTCTTCCATGGTGAGCCAGAGGTGGTTATAATTGCTTGGTAAGCCAAGGTGTGGACATGGAGTCTTGTCAGTTTTCTCCTATTATTTTTTTCTGATGTTTGACTGAGAATTTTATACACGGCTCTCATCTGATCAAGCACATGAGCAATCCTGGGATAGGCATCTGATATTAATGTCGCAGTACCATTCATTAAAGCACTGTATAAATTGGGCAGTTCCTGCTCATTCATCCCCAGTGAGTCTGAGTATGGGATAACATGCTCTACCAAATCTTGCAAAAGTGCTTCTTCACTGAATGAGGCCATTTCAAAATGAATCATGGTATTCTTAGAAGTCGTAGCTAAAACTTCTCCAAGCTTTTGTAGGCGTTCTTTGCGGACACCTGAAAGAAAAAGATGTGTCTCACATCCTTGGGAAAAAATTGATATAAAATCCAAAATCTATTTTACATCTACCACACTAAATATCCCAAGCATCAAATCTGTTGCTTTTAGGACACCCTTAAAATCTGTAAAGTGCTGTACTAAATGACTAGATATGTTAAATAAATTTGTATTTAACCCATGTAATATAGTGACAGGTGTAAGTATGCCATTTTACTTTATAACTTTAATAAAAATAACCACAAAAAAGTTTAAATCACACCCCTCATTCTAAAGGTACGTAGGTGTTAATTCTTAAATAGTTTTGTTAATTGTTATGCAAATGCTGTTTTGTGTGTGCTTCCAACCTCTTATTTAGTCATCTACCTGGCTTGAAAGGAAAACTATCCATCATTTGTAGACCTCCCACAACGAGTAGTTGGGGAGAGAAAGACGCTGCTGCTTGACTGAACAGTTCAAGGGAGTCAATGTATGGATTAAACTGGTCACTGTGAATACAAAATCTAAAGAAAAAAAAAAGGTAAAAATTTATTACTGCTGCCTCAAATGTAAAATTCATATTCCATGCATTATCATCATATGACAAATCTCTGTAAATATGAGTACATTATATTTAAGTTTTTATGTAATTGCAATAACTTAATTACACAAAATATATTTTCTTTGTAGGTAGAAAATATTTGAAAAATCCCTTCCATTTGTTTTATATGTATATAATTATTTCAACACACCTGTTGGCCCTTGGAGATTTGAAGTTACCCCAAGATGTCCCTGTAGCATATTCTAAGGCTATGTGGATGTCCTCGTTGTCTATTGTACCTCCAGCAACTGAAAAGAAAAAAATGCCAATTCTATTTCATTCAAAAAAGGCTCCATCCTGCAAGCATGGCCCTACTAGTAATTCAATTATAAAACTTAAATATGTATAATTTTGAAAAAATTACACAACAAACTTATGCTAGATAAAGACAAAAAAAACTATGAAGCAACAGGAGACAGACATTTTGATACATTCTGAAAAAAAACTATATTGCACTTGAGGCCTGTTTGCACAAAACTGACTTTTAATATTTGATTCAAATAGGCCAGCAAGATGGGGAGAAACTTTGGCTCCAAGCATCACTTCACATCCCTCTTTAGCAAACCTCTGGGCCATCACTGGCGCATTTCCACCAACTGCCCACCTAGTGAAGGAATGCCGCCTTGCCTCATTTACAATGGATTCAAATAGAGTCCTGTTTTCAATATATCTCCTGGAGTTAAAAAAATAAAGACATAAAAAAATAAGGGTAGGGATATATTTCATCTTACTTACATAAATTTAGAATAAACAACTTTAAGAAGATGTTTATAATTGACAAAGAATAATATAAGCAAGGAGTTATAACAGTTATAACTCCTTGATATAAGATACAGTTGCATGCACACAGTACTGGTATTTTCTTTTAAAACCCAGCATGGCATATGTTTTTTTATAGTACTTTGTCAAAAAAGAATTAACAATAATATGCCCTTGCAAATGTAAAATATGAAAATTACACATTTATGATCAAACTAATTCAAAATATGTCTTTATGCGCTGGTAACTTGATAAACTGTATATTGGGTAGCTCTATTTATTTTGTAAACAATCAATGTGTTCCGTACTTACTCTCCAGCAGCTCCGTGTCTAAAAAAGTACGAAAAAACTTTCCCTAGCTCATCTTGGTCCCTTATCACACTGTAATGCTCAGGTATATCTGGTGGAATGAAGCCTAAGTTATGGAAAATATCAGTTGCGTTAACAAATCCGTCTACACAAGCGCCAAATCCAACTGCAACTCTAGTCCGTGTTTCAAAGCTAACTTTTTTCTCCGCACGAAGCAATCCTCTCAACACAGAGTCTAAGCGATCGTTGAGGATTTTATCATTGTAGCTTCGGTGCAGATACGCTACTAATGCCACAAAAATTGAAATGGAAACAACACCACCGGCCTTCTTCAATAACGACATAGCTCTTTGCACTGGGGATAATTTTAATAGACTAATCCTACTACGGTGTGCCTTGCTGTGTGTGTTGTGATTATTATTTGGGTCAAGCATAAATACGGAGCAAATACCATTTGGGACAGGTGCTTGAATTTTCACTCTATTTCAATGTACATGTTTTCTTTTGAATGGTTATAAAATAATTAATATAACTATCTTAATCAAAATTTGCTTTATCATACTATTTACTTTTATAATGTAATTGGTCTTCAGTCCGTGGTGCGGCGCGAAGGATTGAATTTTGCCTTGTATTTGTCCACTGGTATTTGTCGTTCACCAAATGAAGTAAGTACGGCACTTTCAGCGTTAACAAGCAGATGCTGAATCTTCTTATAATCTAACACTATACTGCTAAAAGAATCCACTCAGCATCATATATTTGTCCAAATCCTAACGAAGTAGAGACATAACCAAGAAAGTAGGTTCAATCAAGGAGTTATAACTGTTATAACTCCTTGGTTCAATGAATTATTGGTGTGAAAATCCTGGCTTGAATGCTTTAAATTATTTTTGATGTATCTATTTTGTTATTATGTACAGACACAGACATGGCGGTACATAAAGTCGTCAACAGTGTGCTTTTTAAACCACCTTGTTACCAAACCCACCTGTTGACTGTGCATGATTAAAATTTGTTTTCCACTTTGCTGTTATGCATGTATTATAGCATCAAAACTGACATTATAACCCATTTTGTGTATTATCAGACATGGAGAAAACTTAATTTGCAGGTACTGATGGACCACAGGTCCTGCACTCCAAAAAAAATCCTTAGGTCCTTATACTTAAATGCAGGTTAGAATTATGGCATTGTTATCACAGCTTGGTTTTATATACCTTACGACGGATATCGAATGGAAGGTTATTAAACCATATATTATACATAATCATGCATATGGCACTTTACGTGTTCAGCATGGTGAGCCTGCTTTCCACTGCAGCAATCCACCCATTGCTGTTACACTAGTGGATAGATGGGAACTTAGTAGGAGGCAGTTTCCCCATGACTAGTATCATTACTTTCTGGTTTTTTTAATGAAACTTCTGTTTTTTTTTTTTGTTTTGTTTTTTTTTTTTTATGTAACTTCAGATTAACATAACCTGGGGATGCTAGGGCCTCATCATCACATCCTTGTCCAGGTATCACTGACCCCAAGTTGCAGTCCTATGCCAAGCTGCCCCCAAGTGAGGGGGCTGCTAGCCATGGGACTGCAGCTGATAAGCCTGTGATTTACTATCAGCAAGTCGAGTACCAAAAAAGGAACAATATGATGGTTTGTCCTACATCCATTCGTGCTCAAAATTGTGTTGGGAATATTGCATGTCCAGATGTCATTTGCATGGCTTGGAGAGCAATTGGACTTTAAGAGTGTGTGTGCAATTTGAAGCCGAAGGTATGTGGAATTATTTCAAATGACTGTTATCAAGAATAGGTGCACTGCATTTTAAGATCTAGTCATTAATAGCTGCATACCTTGTAGTTGTTTAAAATCATTTCATGTGGACATTAGCCTACAGACATGGCAAATGTAATTGTGCAAATTTGGTTTTACCCAATTTTTGCAATTTTGTATATCTTCACGTTTTTCATTTGATAAATCATAAAATTTATAGCTTTTTGTAATTATTTCAGGTTATTTCTTCAACTAGTGACAAAGCAAGTCCAATCCAGCATCTGATCAGACTACACAATAGCATATACAAGGCTCAGAACATGTTTGCTCCTCATTGCAACGTATACTATTTTAGTGACACCCCTCATCTTGTAAAGCCTGTGAGAAATAATCTAGCTTCTTCAGGATGGGAGAAAAACACCAAACATCTATGGGTACGGATTACTATTTGTTACTTGTATGATTGACTATAGCTACTTAGAAGATACAGGTCATGGACGAATATTTTTGGTGGATTTGCCACTTTTTGATATCCAAAAATACTTCACAGACATATATCTTGGAAGTAATTTAAAACACCCTCTTTGTCCCTTCAAAGCACATTCTATCACCAAAACAGTATAAAAAAATGACTTTTGCACCCCCAAAATAGTAAGAATTGATATATTTACCACTGACCAACAGAAAAACAACTTGGGTAAGAAATATGTTATCAGAGGTCTTCCCAGTTTACCCAACATCGTGCCAGGGATGTTGCTCCATTGGAGGTACACTTCCAGAAAAAAAAACTTTATTTTGCAAATTTTAGGGTTTTGCACTTTAAGATATGATGTTGATGATAGAAATGAATTTATTTATTTATATGTATGTGATATAAAGACATATATAATACTCCAGAATTCTTTCTTTGGTTCACTTGTTAAAGTAAAGAGTTCAGCTGTATGATATTGAATAGTCCTTTAAAGTAAACATGCTGTTTGGAGCATTTTAATTGCCACACAATAACCACAATCCATAAATATTTCAGACATTAAACATGATGGTGGTCCTGGGCCCTGGTAGTAACCTAGTGCTGTATACAGGCACCACACAAGTGAACAGTATCCATGTTCCAGGCATTCTTTTGGCCACGCCTTCCACCTCCTTGTCCTATCCCCCTGTACCAGACAGTCCATAGACCTCCCAGTGACATGGACATGGGATTTGAGGAGGAGGTATTACACACTAATTGAAGAAGTCACCGTTTAAAGACACTGAAACCTTTTTTAAAAGACATTATAGGGGCTTGACAGAAAAAAACATTGATATACTTAAGTTGAAAATGAATTTTACATTTTGAAGCCAATGTATGGATGAAATTTCTGTTACAGTTGAGCCCAGACCTCCAGGTTGACTATGACTCGTATAGTTGGAAGAAGCTTGATTCATACAGCGAAGAGACCAAGAAAATGGTCAAGGAATATTTTGAATGTGAAGGGGAGTTCGGTGGCAAGAAAGTTTGTGATTACAAGATCTTTAAGTAAATTATCTGACACTGTGAACTGTGACTGGAAGATAATGATTTGACACACTTTTTTGCATAAGAAGGCATGAACGGTTGATTTGTTATGTACCAACTGAACAAAAACTTGGTGTCTGTGTGTTGGAGAAGTAAGATGGGCATAAAAAATGAAATATGCAATAAATTATGAAGGCAAGCTATGTGCTTGAGACATCTGCATTACTTATTTGTGAATTTCCTCGTACAGCAAGTGATTAAAGGCTTAAAGGACAAAGTGGTGCAGAATATTCTATGAATCCCATTCTGAGTGGGTTTACCTGTTGTGCAGCCAAGCAGGTCATAGTGGTAAATTTTATCTTCTAATATTTTGCAAATCGAGGCCATTTCTATGGCAAGTTCTATCAAGGGCCTTGAGTTCGATCTCGCAATTTCCACTGTTTGCTTAATCTTGTCATAACCACCGTACAAAAAATAATTTTAAAAATATGTAAATAAAATCAAATAAAAATAGTCACTGAAAGTATTTTTAATAGAGATAAAAAAGAGAAGACCAATTCCAGTTGAATTAAATGAAAAGGCTTAGTAATGTTTGTGTGCTGGCCTTTCAACATGAAAGAAAAATTTTGGAAATCTAATAAAATTTTCAAACTTCAAAGATGACCTGAAATTTGAAAAAAAAAAATTAACTACAAAGGAAAAAAGTTGAGCACTTTATTTTAATTCCATTTCCAAAGTAAAATTTGAATCACAGATGTTATTGGTATTTTTGTTTCACAAAAATATTGCTCAATCATGCAATGAAATCTTTGGAGTGCAATAAACATCTAAAATTACCAGGTTCTGGTAATGAAATGGTTCACTGTCTTTACACCTTTGAAACATACATGTTGAGATACAAACATTCACAAAAAACTTAATGACATTCACAAAAAATTAAATGGGACTTTAAAATAGTGTTGCTGGGAAAACAATACAATATGGTTAACAGTGGGTTCTTATTTAAAAAGTAACTGATTGTGCATTTCATCCTATAAAAATATTGCTAAGTGTGTATTACATAATTATGAAATGAGTTGAAAGCACTTAACCCTATCCAACTGTATGGATAAAAGGTACAAAAATAGACTTAAATTTGACTGATGTCTAAATGTCAAAATCATTTTACCTACATATAACAGTCAAGAAAAAAATCTTTCCAATCAACAGACAACATTATGACCCTGAATTGTATCTGTAAATGATTAACAAACCCTTAGTTTGGACCATTTAAAAAATATTGCTTTTTTGCACACAAGATGTGTGTTGTGTAGATAAAATACATTCCCCTTTAAATTTCAACTTCTCAAAAATAATTCTCTATAGTACAACAAAATTTACACCCAGTACCTTACTTGGTATTACCTCTTGGAGATGATACTGAAATATCCAAATGACACTGAATACTAAAATGATAGTCCAAATAATAAGCACTGCCAGTATCTAGCAGTTTGAAGTCTCCCTGGTGATGGTTTAGCATTTTTAATAATGCTTAATTCCCTCCATCTTCAATAGGATGGATCAACATTAACTACTATCAAGACCACATAATATGAATTTCACCAAATGGTGTCTGACTTCATAAAAGAATGTAAAAGAGATTAGCAAAACAGTTTGTAATCAAAAGTCTACCTGGTAGAAGCCAAGACAAATAGAAGATGTGTAAAAGCATTATGTTAGTGTGAAGGAGATCAATTAATCAGATATTTTAAGAAATCGAAGGTGAAACCTCTCAATGATTCTTTCCAACATTGCACTTATCGACTATTATTTTCGATTACTACACAGATGTTACCAAGGCTTTTGAGTGAAAGTTTTTAAGCACCAGAGGCAACACTGATTTAGTACCAAGTGAAATTTCATAGAATGATAAAGGAGAATTCTTCAGTGGTTTAAAGTAGTAAATTTTCAATCCACCCTATATATTTTGAACTGACTTTGGACTTTTCCCTCTAAATCTGCACTGCAAGCCCTGCTGAAGAAACATTATCCCCACCTCCAGCAGTTTGAAACACTTGGGTGCAGACAAGAACCGGAGCAACACAAAACTCGTAGTTGCCCTCTTTCCAACATGACACTGGCCGATTATTCTCAAATGAAATCCTTCTGCTTCCGTGTGCCTGACTAGCAGCAAAAGATTCATCAATAATTAACCTTGCTTTTTCCAAATGAATAAAGTTGGACCCGCAGACATGGCGATTTGCTGTTAACGAGGCCTTAGCAGCAGCAGACATGGTGTTCTTCCATGGCGAGCCAGAGGTGGTTATAATTGCTTGGTAAGCCAAGGTGTGAACATGGAGTCTTGTCAGTTTTCTCCTATTATTTTTTTCTGATGTTTGACCGAGAATTTTATACACTGCTCTCATCTGATCAAGCACATGAGCAATCCTGGGATAGGCATCTGATATTAATGTCGCAGTACCATTCATTAAAGCACTGTATAAATTGGGCAGTTCCTGCTCATTCATCCCCAGTGAGTCTGAGTATGGGATAACATGCTCTACCAAATCTTGCAAAAGTGCTTCTTCACTGAATGAGGCCATTTCAAAATGAATCATGGTCTTCTTTGAAGTAGAAGCTAAAACTTCTCCAAGCTTTTGTAGGCGTTCTTTGCGGACACCTAAAAGAAAAAGATGTGTCTCATACCCTTGGAAAAATATAAGATAAAAACCAAAATATATTTTACATCTACCACAGTAAATATCCCTAGCATCGCATCTGTTGCTGTTAGGACACCCTTAAAATCTGTGAAGTGCTTTACTAAATGTGAAGATCAGATATGCTAAATAAATTTGTATTTAACCCATGTAATATGGTGATAGGAGTGAGTATGCCATCTCACTTCATAACTTTAATAAATTGACCACAAAAAAATTAAATCACCCCTCATCCAAAAGCTATGTAGGTGTTAATTCTTAAATAGTTTTGTTAATTGTTATGCAAATGCTGTTTTGTGAGTGCTTTCAACCCCTTGTTTAGAAGTCATCTACCTGGCTTGAAAGGAAAACTATCCATCATCTGCAGACCTCCAACAACAAGTAGTTGGGGAGAGAAAGAAGCTGCTGCTTGGCTGAACAGTTCAAGGGAGTCAATGTATGGATTAAACTGGTCACTGTGAATAAAAAATCTAAAGAAAAAAATAAAAAGGTAAAAATTTATTATTGCTGCCTTAAATGCAAAATTCATATTCCATGCATTATCATCATATGACAAATCTCTGTAAATATGAGGGCATATTAAAAGTAATTGCAGTAACTTAATTACACAAGAAATATAAACTTTGTAGGGAGAAAATACTTGAAAAATAAAAGCCCTTCCATTCGTTTTATATGTATATTTCAACACACCTGTTGGCCCTTGGAGATTTGAAGTTACCCCAAGATGTCCCTGTAGCATATTCTAAGGCTATGTGAATGTCCTCATCGTCTATTGTGTCTCCAGCAACTAAAAAGCAAAAACATAAAAAAGCATGCCAATTAATTCTATTTCATTCAAAAAAGGATCCATCCAGCAAGCATGGACCTAATTATATATATATATATATATATATACACAGTATAAACTGTTAAACATGTATAATTTTGAAAAAAATTACACAACAAACTTATGCTACAACTGTAGATAAAAACAAAAATTATAAAGCAACATGAGATGGCCATTTTGAGACATTCATAAAAAAAAAAAATCTATATTGCACTTAAAGCCTGTTTGCTGAAAACTGACTTTTAATATTTGATCCCAATAGGCCAGCAAGATGGGGAGAAACTTTGGCTCCAAGCATCACTTCACATCCCTCTTTCGCAAACCTCTGGGCCATCACTGGAGCATTTCCACCAACTGCCCACCTAGTGAAGGAATGCCGCCTTGCCTCATTTACAATGGATTCAAATAGAGTCCTGTTTTCAATATATCTCCTGGAGTTAAAAAAAATAAAGAATAAGGTAATGAATATATTTCATCTTACTTAAATAAATTATTTAGAATCATACAAGCTTGTGAAGATGTTTATATTTGACAAAGAATAATAAAATATACATTTGTACACAGTACTTTCTTTTTAAAACCCCATATGGCATATGTTTTTGTAGTACTTTGTCAAAAAAGAATTAAGACTAACATGCCCTTGCAAATGTTAAATATGAAAATTACAACTTTATGATCAAACCAATTCAAAAATATGTCTGCATACGATGGTAACTTGATAAACTGTATTTTGGGCAGCTCTATTTATTTTGTAAACAATCAATGTGCTCCGTCCTTTTATGGTTACTTACTCTCCAGCAGCTCCGTGTCTAAAAAAGTACGAAAAAACTTTCCCTAGCTCATCTTGGTCCCTTATCACACTGTAATGCTCAGGTATATCTGGTGGAATGAAACCTAAGTTATGGAAAATATCAGTTGCATTAACAAATCCGTCCACACAGGCGCCAAATCCAACTGCAACTCTAGTCCGTGTTTCAAAGCCAACTTTTTTCTCTGCGCGAAGCAATCCTCTCAACACAGAGTCTAAGCGATCGTTGAGGATTTTATCATTGTAGCTTCGGTGCAGATACGCTACTAATGCCACAAAAATTGAAAGGGAAACAACACCACCGGCCTTCGTCAACAACGACATCGCTCTTTGTCTTGGGGATAATCTTAAGAGACTAAGCCCACCCTAGACCCTGACTACGTTGTGCCTTGCTTTGTTGTGATTATTAATTTGGGTCAAGCATAGATACGGAGCAAATACCATTTGGAACAGGTGCTTGAATTTCCACTCTATTTCAATGTACATATTTTCTTTTAAATTGTTATGAAATAATTAATATAATTATCTTAATAAATATTTTGCTTTATTATACCTATATATTTTTATAAAGAAGGTAATTGGTCTTCAGTCCGTGGTGCGGCGCGAAGGATTGAATTTTGCCTTGTATTTGTCGTTCACCAAATGAAGTAAGTACAGCACTTTCAGCGTTAACAAGCAGATGCTGAATCTTCTTACACTACTGCTTTAAGAATCCACACAGCATCATATAGGTAATAGGCACTTGTTGCTTGCACATTAACTGTATAATTAAGAAGCACGCCACCGTTCCACCATGACCGCGTTAACCGAAGCCCTTTAGAATCAGATAGGGACAGATGATATCCCTTGCTAAATTGCACTTTTCCGATGTTCACCACCAAAACGACCTGTTTGAACGAGATGGAAGTTTCACGTAATACATTATAACGCCAAAATAAAAAAAAAAACAAACACAATTTTTAAAGAGCAGAGACACTGATCAAAGTGAAAACTGAAAACCATGTTTTTTTTTTTTTGGGGGGGGGGGGTAGATATGTACTAGTAGATATCAAAAGCTTATTTATCTTTTGAATTTAAAAAGTGGTCTATTTGATTTTATTTATATGTGTATTTTAATTTGTTTCTAGGTGTTTAATGGTACTTTCAAACTAAGCACACTGGATCTCCAGGATATGATTGGTGCCTACCAAGCCCAAGAATTTGAACCATATGGGAGGGGGCATGTGGCAGCTCATCCAGGGAAAGTACAGCTGCAGATTAAGAAGTCGTCAACACTGGAACATGGAATACCGCTAGTGAAAGCAATAAAGGATATTTCCTTACACGAAAACTCAAAAGTAAGCATGTGTGGTATTTATGTCTGAGATAACACACTTATTCCTAAATATGTCTGAGCAAAGTTTTATCAAAATGCTCGGCATGAAGCTTTTTTTACATGTATTGTACTATAACTGAAAAAATAATTACATTCTCGGCCTATTCAGTTTTGACACAAATGTAGTGCTGCAAAGGAAGCAGATCTTAACATGAAATGATGTTAGTCTTTATCTTTTGACATGTATTTTTGATTTTTCCTTGTCGTAGAAGGAGCACTGGCACAAGAGGAAAAATGTGACAAACAATTGTATTGAGGAACTCTACATCAAGGAAAGCACTGTCGTGTGGAGCAGGGGAGGGAATGAGGAAAGCAGAAAGGTTATTAAAACTGTCACTGTCGACTCAGCAGTACAGCAGGTAAATGATACCCTTTAGTTTTGGTTTAGGAGTTTTAACTTTTAGTTGACTAAGTTTAAGCTTCAAACTATTAGGAAAAGATGTAATTTGAAAAACATTTTTGATAAAAGATTGCAAATTACTCCTACAGGAGGATTCTTGAATCTGGAAAAAGGACGATTTTGTCATTTGGATATATGTTATGACGTGCAAATATTTAGAAATGGTTTGAACTACTTTACTGTACTTATTTTACTTATTTGTCTGTATAATTATTTTCAGGCCTTGTGGTGCACATTTACTTTACCTGACAGTCTGAGTGATGTGGAACAGAAAAGTAATACCTTAGATATGATAGGTTTGTATTTCAAATGTTACTCGATACATTTAGTTCATTTTAAAGTACTTATAACTTCTTAACATGTGCAATATATGCATTTTCTAAATGAAGAACCGTGTCATAAAAATTAAACTTTTCTTTTAAAATTAAAATTATAATTTGCACTGACAAATCTTTTCTTTTCAGTACTCATGTTCTGAAGGTTTTTGTGAGAGTTACAATGAAAAAGCAGTTTGTTTTTAATTGCAATTTTGCTGGAACAGAAATTATTTTGTAAGATGTTTTTATTTTGCCACTAGGTCACAAAGAACATGGTATATGTATTGTGGAGTCTGGGTGTGTGAATGTATTCACTGACGAGGGAAAAGATTACATTTCCACATTGCCATTCCAGGTAAAATGCCTTGTTATACTTATATTATAAATATTAATTGATAATGAACAAACTCCATAGATGAAAGTTTCCAGGATTATGCCTGATTTCAGGATTTTCAGTCTTCCTTTTTGATCATATTTTTCATATGGTCTTCAAGCAATGAGAAAATGCAAGCTATGTTTTCAGAATTTTCAATTTTTACAACTTTCATCCATGAAACTCAGGTATGAACAGAATTTTTTATCTATAGCTTGAAAATTAAAATGATACTTTACCAGTTAATAATTTCCCTAAATCAGTCAGGAAATTGGGCTGGGATAGATGTGACAATCTATTGCTCCTCTGGTGTGCTCATCACAACTGATGTCTAGTTTCTATATATTGATGTTTGTGATAGGTATCTGGAGCCTGGGTTATAAAGAATGGATTGATGTTTGAGAGAACTGTGACACACAGAGAGATGGCAAATTCTAAAAGGTAATATATATGAACAATAATTTTTATAAATATCATTGGGATTGGTATTTTAATCAGTTTGAATAGTCTTGCAGTTGTCATATATGTTTTTTTTTTTATATATATAAATGATCTTAAACATTTGCTTTTGAATAATGTATCCTAGATTAATACTAGTCTTGTAATCTACAAATTTTGTAAAAAAAATTCATTTAGTTTGATTCTTTGGGGTATTTTCATGCATTTAAGTACAGATACATTGTTCTGTTTGTATGGTCTAGGGTGACCCCACTCCCTGTCCTCTTCACTATGCTCCACCCACTGGATGAGCTGGCACCTGTCATTAGCAAGTCTACAGGTGATACAGAGAGAATATAGCTCAGACAAATATATGTCATATTTTTGATTGAGTAGGGATATGATTTCATTGCCATATTTGATCTAATTTAATATTGTTTTGTTGGGATTAATTTATGCAAAAAATCCCCTTTACGCAACAAGAGTCATTTTTTTCTTCAATTCACTGGTGCTTATGAATATGTTGTGTTAATAAAGAAAAGCTAAAAGTTGGTTATATATATATATTTTTTTTTAACTTAGATTTGCCAAAAAAAAAAAAACCTTTGTGCTGTAACAGCTACAGTTTTAAATTACTGTATATGAATGATGAAACCTACAATTTTTAGGTCTCCTCTATCAGTGTACCCCAAACCTTCATAGTCCCATTCACAACAAGAAAGAAGGCAACAAAGAATATTGATTGTTCTAGATTTGGCCAAAGAAGGGCACTTTTATTATATAACCCCACTACCCTAATCATTTTAACAATTTTAACAATATAACACATTGTTGCCAGTATTGAATGTTATGGCCTTATGGATAAAAAATATATCAAATATTCAATAAGACTCATCATCCTAAAAATTATATATTTTCCTAGGTGGCATGAATGCATCAAAGGTCCAGTTTGTGACCAGCCACAGCCATCAGATAGTGTTCACCAGTGAGGACCCCTCACTTGCTGTGCTGTATGACACAGTACATGGGGTGCACTCTATATGGAAGATAAGAAGGGCAAAGTTAGAGGTAAGGGTAAATCAAGATTTATGATTTATTTTTATGACACTGAATTTGTTTAAGCCATGGGTTATTTCTAAGACTTAGAACTTTTGAATTAAGTCTATTTATCATCTGTGATTCATCCAGATCATCAAATTTTACTTGTCTTTGACATAATTTAGAAAAGTAAATGGGGTTATTTGTTCCCTTATTTTCATAGTCTATGATCTTCACAATTGTATCTGAGATGAAAAAAAATCGAAGCATACAAAGTAAAATTTTTTGCTTGCATTAAATAATGAGCTGCCTGGCTATTGTTTAGGTGAGTTATATTTTAAGGCATCAGTACTATTATTACCCAGGAAGGGTTTTCAGCCTCTGGGATGGACTTGATGGGCAGTCTTCCTGTCCAGTCTGCTGCCACAACACCACTGCCAGGACACAGTCATTCCAGCAGCAGTAGCTCCCTGTCCAGAGTGACCTTCTCCAGCCTGTCGCCATCTTCCAGCATGTCACCATTCAGAAGTCACCCCAGCCGAGTCAACTCTCCTGCTTCACGCTCTATCAGTAGTCCATCTCTCACACAATCAGCATCACTCAAGTAAGCATTTATTATAAACATTTGATTGGGTTTTCTTAGATATTCTTTTATAGTTTTAGACAACTGCCTTCTCTTGAATTTTTTTTTTTTTTTTTTTTTTGTAGAAGCTTCAGCTACAATTTGTATGTGTAATTCAGGAAAGCACTAAGTTTAATTGTTGTCTTTACTCTGTAATGTCTCTATTTATATGTTTAATGCATTAAGTAGAGAACGTCCTCCAAACTAGTATCCAAAGGTAGAATTTCCTGCACACAAAGAATTTAGAGCACTGATGTGAAAAAAGAATTCATCTTATCAAAACGCTTTTTTTTTTTTTTAAATGCTAATTTAATTCCTAACCTAAATCCAACACTACAACAAACGTGTCCCATTTCAGTCAAATGCAGTCCCCGTCTGTGGCATCAAACAGTCTCTATAGGTTCCAGACTCCATCTCCTGGAGTGCGGTCCCCAGCGTGTCTGTCTCGTACCCCAGTGACTCACAACACCACTCTCTGGAATGACACCTGTGCCGAGGCGGGGGAGCCCCTGACGCCTGATGTGTGTCTGGAACAAGTGTGGACGGATCTCGGCATCACTGGAGGGTAGGCACAGTGTTTGTGATTCTGTTGATAATGCTTGAATTGAGTGGAACTTAAATCGAATATTAAGAGGTTTACAAATTCAGACAATAACAGGCATATATAAAACTAATCGTTATGATGATTTTATTTTTTAACATATACTTAAAGGGATCAAAACAACTCTTCATTTTGGCAAGAGAAGTGCCATTAAATGGCAGTTTGGTTATAAAATGGAATTTATTATATTTCTTTGTGTTGTTTAAAATGTATTTATTGTGGAATTTTGAATCTCATGTGGAGAGTTAAATTTAGCAGTGCATGACATTGATTCCATTTTAATAGTGTTTTATATCATTTAGTCGCAGGCACAGTGGCCGTGCAAGTAAAGTCTTCATTACCACTGACTTGCGTGAACAGCAGTATTTGTGCTACTTAATACCAACAGAAAAACAACTTAGGTAAGAAATCTGTTATCAAAGGTCTTCCCAGTTTACCCTTAATATATATTAAGTGAAATAATAAACAGGCACTTATAGGCAGGCTCGCATGAGGGACAGACAAAAATATCTGCAGCAGTTAAAAAGAAGTATAAAGGTCAGAAGTGTAATTGGTTAAATTCTGCTTTTACTTTCAGGTGTTTGAAATTTGAAGAGAGCAATGACAGAAGTCAGTTGATATTTGGAACAGCACTGACCATTCCTGCCAGGGATGCTGGTCCATTGGAGGTAGGCTTCCAGAAAAAAGTATTCATTTTGCACATTTTTAGGGTTTTGCACTTTAAGATATGATGTAAATGATAGAAATGAACTTATTTTATTTTTATGTATGTGATATAAAGACATTTGTAATACTCCAGAATTTTTTTTTTTTTGGTTGTTAAAGTAAAGAATTTGGCCTTTTGATATTGAATAGTCCTTTAAAGAAAACATGGTGTTTGGATCATTTTAATTGCCACACAATAACAACAATCCATATATATTTCAGACATTAAACATGATGGTGGTCCTGGACCCTGGCAGCAACCTAGTGCTGTATACAGGCACCACACAAGTGAACAGTATCCATGTTCCTGGCATTCCCTTGGCCACGCCTTCCACTTCCTTGTCCTATCCCCCTGTACCAGACAGCCCGGCGCGGGGACCTTTTTCCTCCAGTAGACCTCCCAGTGCCATGGACACAGGATTTGAGGAGGAGGTATTACACACTAATTGAAGAAGTCACTACTTAAAGATGATGAAAGCCTTTTTGAAGACATTATAGGTGCTTGACAGAAAAATATATTGATATATACATAAGTTGAAATTGAATTTTACATTTTGAAGCCAATGATATTATGGAATTTTGTGATTGTAGGTGTTAGATTGGAGAATGAAAAAGATGCATGGATAAAAAATATGGATAAACGTTAAATTTATTGTTTATTAGTCTGTGAGGGTTTATTATTATTTGCAGCATTTCATTTTCACTAATATGAGTGCCCCACATAAAATGTTAGATTGAAGTGGATATTTATCAACTTGTCATACTTTTTTCATTAATATTTAAAGGTAAATCTGCTATCACCAGTGCCAACTGAGTTCAATGAATCGAGTCAGCTTCTAGATGGTTCCTTGGCTGAAGAGTTGTCTTCCTGGCAGTTTCCTAGTATTATAGCAGGGATAAAGGATCCTGTAGAGAATCAGTTCACTGTGGTATGAGGGCCGTTTTGGTGGATAATTGGGTGTTAATACATAAGTCTTTAATGAATAATAGGCTTCTAGACTGTTGTTAATTAATTTTGTTTTTTTATACAGGTTGACTATTGTAAGATTTATTTATGTAGAGTTAAATATGATCTGAATCTTGCTGTAAGGGTAATAGAATCAACACTTGTTATCAGTTATCTGATGAAATATTGGATATGAAGTTGGAGAAGTTATTTAACAATTGTATTGTCTTTTACAGGAACTTGCTAATGGCCAGCTATTTCATACTGGACTACCAGATCTTGCTGAATCCCCTTTAGGTAAATAGGTCTTTTTCTGAACGTCCCTAACATATATAAGTTTTAGTCGAGTCTTTAACCTATTAAGGTTGTGACTTTTTAGGAATTTTATTCCTTTATATTGTAAAATATGAATAATATTTGACTAACTTGATAGCAGATTAAAATATTGTCTTATATGATTAGCAAGGAATGGGATACATCACTTACTCTGATTTCTGAAAGTTGACAATTACTTTTATACAGTGAGGCTTTGTCTGAAAGCAGTTAGCCAGGTTCTGCCCCGAGATGTGGGCATACAGGTGCTGGTCAAGTGGTATGCAGTCCGTAATGCAGCTGGTATAGTCTCCAGTCAATCAGAATGGACAAAGTTTGTCAAGTGCATGTTTAATCTGATGGGATACGATGCGGGAAAGTTGGCTCTTACAAAGAAGGTGATATAATGTTGGCAATAGGATATGTTCCATGTTTGTAAATGATTATTCATCTGATGTTAGTTAACATATTTTACCGTCATATATTTGGTAACTGGATATTGTCTTTTTTATCACAAAACTTTGCAAAGTGAATGTTGAACTGCATTTTTAAGCTGTCTAATTCATTTGCCAACACGTACCTCAGTAGAAATTTGTTTGTCTCTTTCTTTCATCTCTGTAACAGTACAATATGGACAGCAGTGCATCTCCTGTGATGACTACAAAGAAAGCAAGAACATCAGACCATGGAACTGAAGAGGTGAGCACAATAAAGAAAATAACGAAGCGATTGCTATGTCTTGAAAAGAGTTAAGTGCTGTTGGGTTAATAATTGGTATCAAAAAAATTTATCAGTTTCAGTGAATCATTCTATTCCTAACCATCATTTTTTATGGAAGTGATACTTTTTTCAGGATTGGCAATACCTGCTGTCCTCTGACCATCACAAGCTCAGTCAGAATACCCACAGTTACAGCCTGGGAGTAGAAGAAGCGATTCCCTTACAGTCCCCATCCCTTTCCTGTCACACAGTGGGCACAGCAGATGTGCAAGCTTTGCTCTTCTCACACATACCTGCAGTCATGTTTGCTTTACATTTGGCATATGAGGTATGAATAACAAAAGCAGTGGAAACAAATATTCAAGTACAATACAATGTGCAATATGATGGTGTACAATGGAATGTTTTTTCATTGGTATTATATGACATTATATATTGTATGATTTATATCATATATTTCACTATATGACCTTGTTTTGGTGAATTCTAACACTGCATCTCCCCTTTTTGTCTTTTGCTGGTTCACAATACCTTTCATAATTGGATGCATTTATGAGATTTGTGTATATTAATTAGGTTATTGAATTGTTTGATGGTAAGTGACTCGCAGTCACTGTATCAACTTTTGACAAGATTATTTATTCACTCTTTGTAGAATGCCAAACTCAACAGACTACTTTCTGAAGAGTTGAAGTCAATAGCAACAGTGCTACACCAGCTCTCAAGGTAATAATAATAATGAGTACAGTTTTAGCGGCTGGTTTTTATCATTGCACAGTATTTTACTTTATGTAGAATGCTTTTGTGAAAATTTATTGTGTTCTTGTATAATTTTGTTGGTAAGCATACCATTTTGTGTCATTTTTAATGGAAAAGGTCACCAAATTTGTAATTTGAAATTATTAATCTAGATTTATAAATGGAACTTTTCTGTTTTCAGAGATCTAAAGTGTGAGGCTTACATTGATCATTACTGCAGAGATTTCCCACATCTTTTTAATGTGTTGCAAGAAAGAAGCCAATTTTCTTCTGGTGGGTCAAGTTGTATTTTTTTTTGTCAAAAAGAAATGTAAATTTATCCCTTCTAATAAAGGACAAATGCGGAAAGGTTGGTTATCTTTGACAGACATTTTTCATAGTGTACACTTTGATATTAATGCAAGTTTACTAATATAGCAAGAAGTGTTTTTTTTTTTTAAACTAACTGCTCTAGTCTGTTTTAAAATCCATCTTTTATGTGAATCAGTTTGTGTAACTGTCTTATTGTTTTCTTTTCAGAAAATCTTCAAAAAATGCACAGGCCCCATTTTTTCAGTGTGAACCCTCCCAGCATCTACAGATGGCTGTACCAAGTGCTGAAGGGAGCAGAACCCGATGTGTTCCCTTATCTTCCAAATGTGACATTGTCAGTCAGAAATATCGTCATAGTAAGTGTGATCACTGAAGCAAAATGTGTTGACAGACACATTGTAAGTTTTCAAGGTGGTCATCAACACATTTTGACTTTTAGAATTCTAATTTGCGAATTAAAAATATTTGATTATTTCTGGCGCATGAACCCAGGTTTGTGTTCTTCATACATGGAGTATTACAACCATCAAACCTCCATCTTTCAGTTATTTACAGTCTTGTGTACCAACAGTGGACAAGAACCAGACAAAGAGAAATATTTAAAGAAAATCGCAGCTGCAGGTGAGGATTTTTGCTGTATGAATCAACTCAGAATAATGTGATTGATATTATTTGTCCTGGTTCTTTAATAGCAAGATGTTACTCTAAATCTCTTGAAACTTAATTTGAAGATACTTAGAATAATGATAAGCATCAATATATCTTATTCCAGAATATCAATAATGACAGGAATTAGAAATCACCAATGTTAAAATGGTTTCAAAATGGTTCCAATTGCATTAAATATTTTGTTACATTAATGTACATTATAATATGGTATGATTCCATTTTAGGTCACAGACCAACATCAACTAATGTCTCACTGTCCAAAAGTTTTGCTGGATCATCTCAAGCCTCCATTTCTACAAATATTTTGCAGCTGATGACTGAACTAGGTTAGTAAGGCTTTTGTAACTTGGTTAAAATGGTCAAAATTTAAAAATGAAAATTAAAAAAAATCTACTTTTTCTATTTATAGCCTTTTCTTTAGGGGAATAAGCCTTTACTTTAGGGGAATATGGGTTTATGTCTCTCTTACTGTGGATTGCCTGGTAAAAAAATGAGTGTTTGCATGTTGAATATAGCCAAAGAAATGCTGAGGATGCTCCATCTGTTTCAGGAATAACCTTTGAGTCAATAGAAAACCTGCTACTGGGGGTGGCATTGCCTTTGAGAGAAGCGATCTACCATGGTAGAGAAACACCACCTTCTACATTACCAGAGGAAGCTTATCAGTTAATAGGTAAGGGTTAAATGTAGTAAGTTTAGGGGTGTTGGATTTTCATTTAATTGGATTTTTATGATGTAATTATCTTTTTATTATATTGAAGCAAATAAGGCCAATATGTATTTAGAAGCATTTCCTCTTCACTATTATCTTAATGGTATTTTAGCTGTTATTAACATGTTCATAATATCAGTTTTGCATTTAATATGCTCATTTTTTTAACAGTCAGTACCTGAAATTGATGTGGGGTGTATGGCCCAAGATATAATATTCTAAAGATGTTTTAGCAAGTCTGTTTCTCTAATCTCTCTCACTATCTATATCTCCTGTAACCTGTTCTAGGAAGGGAAGATTTAGCCAAGCAAGTCCACTGTGAGCACACTCCATACACAGCTCCTCCAGGCAGCCATGAGACCTCTGCCAAAAATGTCAGAGAAGATGAGGATGGGATGAATAATCTAGACAAGGAGGTACTGCAAATTTTCAATATAGTTTTTCTGTTCATGAAAGAGATATTCTGAAACGAGGATGTGTGTCTATATTATGAATTTTTATGTTATCAAATTATTATAGGGAATACTTCTATTGGATGAATATCTAAACAAGTAGGTGCTCAAAATTTCTAATCGCAGAATTTTTTCTTCTTTTTCTGACATGCCACATTTTAATTCTTTATGATATGAATTATCTAGTCAAAATGTAGGCTTTATTCAGCAGATTAATATTTTGACCTTGTGAACTTGTGTATTACATCCTGATAGAACTTATAAACACTAATTTAAAATAGCTGATCTCAAACTGCTTTCACATACTAGCTGCTCAGGCTGCGGTTCAATGAAGATCACAGAATTCAGGAAGTTCGCAAGTTGCTACGATCTTCTAAACCTGTCAAAATCATGCTTACTCAGAAGCCTGAAGTTAGCGACCATGATTTCATAGAAGAGCAGAGCAGGCATCTGTACTCTATCTGCATCAGAACAATGGCTCTCCCATTGGGAAGGTGAAAAGAACAGTGAAATTCTAGAATTCTTGTTAAAATATTCATTGTTAAACTAGTGTGCTTGGAGAGGTTTGATATGCAAGATAAATTGGTTGCCCAGATTGAAATAAGTTTACTATGTAAAATGCTACTAAGTAAAACCAATGGTTTCAGTTGTTTTTTCATCTGTACATTTTATGATAATTGCATGATGAACTTTTACTTTTTGAGAAAAATGTTATCGATGCTGAATTCTTATTTCAGGGGTATGTTTACATTAAGTACTTACCACCCTGTTGTCACAGAAACACTGCCCATTCCCAAACTTTGTCTCACTGGACGTGTGCCACCAAGGTATAATAAGTATAAAAATGTTTTGATTAAATTTTTTTCTTTTGGTATATCTAACTTGTGAGGCAACAAAAAGCCAAAAAATTTTTTCTCTTTTAATCTATTTCTCATTTTTTAAAAATAAAAGACATTTCAGTATAATGATAGACTATAAATATGAAAGTGACTTAGACAATAGACTATATGTGAAAAAAATTAAAGTTCCATTAACAATTACACTGTGATGTGAAGTACTCTTCAGAAACTTGGTACCAACTAAAGAATTCTTGCTTCGATTTTTCTAGAAACACGACCATAGACCTGAGTCACATCGAGACCCCAGCCAACATGAATGTGTGGCCACAGTTCCACAATGGAGTTGCAGCAGGACTTAAGATTGCCAACTCCTCTCAGGTAGTATCCTCCCCAGGGAGGCAAGAGCGTCAACACTCATTCTGTATCTTGGCCAAAAATGACCAGGTGGCCATTGTAAAATTTCACCAAAATTGTATTGTAAGCCATGCTGGTTCTTATGTACTGCTTAACATTACATATATTAAGTAAAGTTTGGTTCTTATGTACTGCTTAACATTATATATATATAATGTTAAGCAGTACATAAGAACCAAACTTTACTTAACTTTTAGAATGGTTACTGTCTTGATCAGTTTAAATGTGTTTACTTAGTATTATCAAATTAAGAAATCTCTATACCACAATTTTACAGATACAGATATGAATTTATCCTTTTTTGCCAGGTGCATCAATATGATAAGAAAATTTGTGATATATCAGCTAATGGCAAATGGAAGTGCAGTGACATTTTTAACCGCCCACAATATTAACATAGGATATGATCTTCATCATTATAGCTAAGGTTACTCCTTTTTTAGGTTGATTCTACATGGATCATCTATAACAAACCAAAAAGTAATGAGTTGACCAATGAACATGCAGGCTTCTTAATGGCCCTGGGTTTGAATGGTCATCTCTCCAATCTGGCAACCATGAATGTCCACGACTATTTATGCAGGGTATGTTGTTTATCACCAGTTCTGTAAACACTTTGTTTCAGCGATGTTAAATCAAGTCAAATTGTGCAGGTTCAGTGCTAGTAATCCCAGCCAAAAAATGTGAATTTTGGATTGCTAATGTATAAATTTTTGGGAAAAATATTTGAGTGAAATGTCAACTTTTTTTTTTTTTTTTTTCATTTCCGTAGGGACATGATATGACAGGTGTTGGATTGTTGCTGGGAATTGCTGCGGCAAAGTAAGTAGAAGTGTACTCTAGTTTGAATGTATATATGGTGTTAGCACATTTTTATTATATTTTTGGGTTTTTTAGCCATTAATTTTACTCTGATCATGTATTGCTGCTCTTCATCTTGTTTGTAAAAAGTCTAAATTGTTTGATATCATATAGTCATATCAAACCTTGTCCCCATGCAGTTTATTATATACTTTTAAGAATTATATTTATGTTAAACCATGGCAAACAGTAATAATGTAACTTTTTTAAAGCAAATTTATAACAGTGGTATGACTGATCGCGCTACCTTTTTTTACTTCACTCTTCTCCTTATGTTTCAGGAGAGGCACAATGGACCATGCGACTGTTCGTCTTCTCAGTATCCACATAGCAGCCATGTTGCCACCTACCTCCACAGAGCTGGATGTTCCCCACGTGGTGCAAGTGTCGGCCATCTTGGGCATGGGTCTGGTCTATCAGGGTACGGCACACAGGCACGTGGCCGAGGTGCTGCTGGCTGAGATAGGTAACAGACTGGGAGATGATACTCATACTCTTTGTTAAATAATTTTTTTAAAATTGGGCATATTGGTAAATCTCAACAACTGGTTTACAGCTTAACCATTATTGGGTGGCTGTGGTACTGCTGGCTGAGATAGGTAATAGACTGGGAGACGATGATGCTCATACTCTCTGTTAATTAAAGAATTGTTTTAATCGGGCATTTTGGTAGACTTTACAGCAAAACCATTTCATGCTGACTGTGATAGGTACTGTAATAGACTGGGAGACGATGCTCATATTCTCTGTTCAATAAAGAATTGTTTTAATTGGGCATGTTGGTAAAACTCAACAACCAGTTTACAGCAAAACCATTATATGGAAATATTTAAAGTTCACTGTTTTATTAACATCAGTATGCTAAATTTCCACCTTTAAGACTTAGTTTTGAGTATTTGTAGTTATCCTGAACAAACTGAAATCATCTTAATTTCAGGCCGTCCTCCAGGGCCCGAAATGGACAATGCTACTGACCGTGAGTCTTACTCCTTAGCATCTGGACTTGCCTTAGGGATGGTCATGTTAGGGGTAAGAAAAAAATGGTGGCATAAATCTGTTTTCTTGAGGCAAAAAAAAGAACATTTTATAATACATTTACTCATTGTAAGTGATGTTATGCTAGAGCAGATACCAACATAAGTTTTTTGAAAGATATTTATGTATGGATAACCTTTCCTCCTAGCCTGAATGATTTGAGATATTTCAATTTCCTTTATTTTCATCAGAGAGGCAGTGAGACCTTGGGATTGTCTGACCTAAACATGGCCGACCAGCTCTATCACTTCATGGTTGGAGGACATAAAAGGCCCATGGTATGACAGTTCTTTGCATGTACTCTTTTATGTGCTGCTTGAAATAGCACTTTTTGAAAAGAAAAACATTTTGAAAAAAATTGATGAATTGATTTAAAGAAGATTTAATTTTCAGCATTGTCATCTCTTTTTCAGACTGGCCTAAATAAAGAGCGATACAAATCTCCAAGTTACCAAATTAAAGTAAGTGACATAAACATACTGAAATTCAATCACATACTATTACTATTGCTGCTGCTCCACAGTAACCTTGACCTTTCTTGACCTGCCTCGACCTTGATTTGTCCCAATTAACCCAGATATGATAATAATGGGGTATCTTTCAGGAAGGGGATGCAGTCAATGTCAATGTGACCTCCCCTGGTGCTACCCTAGCCCTTGGGATGATGTTCTTCAAGAGCAATAACAGGTAAGTTGGTTATTTAACCATTTTGGTGTGCTTTTTCATTTAAAGATGGGTATTAACAGCGGGTTTTTATTTTGATATGCAACAGCTGATGACTTAATTAAAAAAAAGATGAGTTAATCCAGCTTCTTGTAATTGTTTTTGGAAAGGTGCCCCAAAGATAATTTTACGACGATTGAGACTTCACAAGTTTTAGGAAAAGTGGATTTTATCAGAAATGGGCTTTGCCAGTTAAGCATGATTTTTACTTTTTTTTGTAACAGATATTCCTTTTAAGACACCAACTTTGAACACTGTTTAATTCTCATTTTGAGTGTAAATTTAGTTGTATCATCAGCAAATACAAAAACTTGTTTTTAGATTTGGCACTATTAGAGATCCAGCAGTTATCAACCCGAATGTAATTGGTCTGTGATTGGCAGTCCTTGACCAGGTTTTATTAACCCACTTTTTTGTTACTATACATTTATATTTCTGGGTCACAAACAATACCTGGAAGCTTTGTTGGAGCAAGGATCTAAATATGTTTTGAAGTATGTCTCTGTGGGTATTAATCCCAATTGTGTGCCTAACCCAGCTGGTGGTACATCTGGAATGATTAAGAGTCTCTCAGATCTTGTAGTTGTGTTTTGATGGTACTTGATGTACAGTTAAAGGTCAAGAATGACTGTAATTATCTCTCATTTCCTATTCTCATTTGCCAGCGCTGTTGCCCAGTGGTTGATGGCACCTGACACACAGTTTCTATTGGATTTTGTTAGGCCAGATTTCCTTATGCTTAGAGTAAGTAAGAGATGCATGCTGTGCCTGAATTAAATGCGCTTAAATGACACAGGTTGTTGTGTTCACGGTTGTTTTGAATAGAGAGTTCACATGATCATAGTACCTTAGATGAAGCATTTTGGGCCCAGCAAAATCAAGAAAACAAAAATTGACATAATGCAAAATGTGAAATCTTGATGTTAAAAACCTGGATTACAATATTCAGAATTTTGATTCATTATTTTTCTTGATTTTAAGAATGCTTTGGTAGTGACGTAAATGTTTAGTTATTGCAGCATCTCATAAAAAAAATATCCTTCATCAACTCTTTGAAGAACATAAAATCCAAGCTGCTGAACACAAACACCTGGTTTATCTTCCTAATTGCGCCAAATCTTTTAAAGCCAGGTTCTTTAGCACCACAGCCTCGTCAGTCAGGTCTGTAAATGATGATATTCATAACAAAACAGAAATATATGTTATATTTTATTTCAGTGACTTTTTTTTCTTCATTTTTTATAGGTTATCAGTCAGGGACTTGTTTTGTGGGATTCAGTATTGCCTTCCAAATTATGGATTGAACAGAATATTCCACAGGTATAGCAGCAATGTTCCAAAAATACATTGTGGTTATTCATTATGGATAAGTCTTTCCAACCAAGGCATCCATTTCTTGGTTGACCACAGCATTGAGTGAAGGTCTTTTTTTTCTTTGTGTGTCTGTGTGAGAGAGAAAATGCAAGCCTGTTTCTGCCGATGAGCTAAAATTAAACATGCCAGAAAAACCAATGTGTTATAAGTGTTGGTGAAACTGGACCTCTATTGGGTGAAAGGTGATATAAAGATGCCTGTTCCACTCAACTTGATATGTTTTCAATTTGCTGTTGTCACGTCATTTGGTTTTGTCAGTGGTTTTGGTCTTCTAATCTTAAGAATGAAAATGAAATAAGATTGACAATATGTAATGTGAGTTTACATGGTGTAATCTAATGTCTTTACAGGTAATAAAAATGTATGCATTCAACAGGGATAAATACCAAAATGATCCAACCTGTGATACTGACTTTGAAACTATGAGGTATTTATTACAAATGATAGATGAATTTTTCATATTATCCAATACTATTTTGTCATATCCTTTCTAACATTTAGTCATTAAAAAAACAAGCTATGATATTGATTGTTTATCCAGATGGGAATCAGATTGGGAAATTTTATTCGTCCATTTGTTTTAAACTTAGATAAAGATGGAATGCTGTAATTAAATCTCATGCTCGAGCTGAAGTTAAAAATGAACATCACTGCCACTGATGTTTAAAACAAGAGACTCCTTGATCCTCGACAAGGAGGAGGACTGGTTCAAATGAGGAGTGAAAGGGTCATTCATGAGAGGATTGAATGCCCACCCTTGACATGCATGGCAGTCCTAGACTGGGTTCCCATAAACCTATTGTACTAGCAGGATCGATCTAACTCCGAGAGGATTCTCACTAAATTGCATTCAGTTTGAGCAGCTTAAATGTCTGTCATGCCCACTGAAGCTGCTAGGGGGGTAATTAGCTTTCCTGCACCCTTAAACTAAATGCAATTTAGTGAGAAACCCCTTGGAGATAGATCGATCCTGCTAATACGATCTGGTATGGAAATGGTCCCTGAAATACCAACCACTCTGATTGTGGGACTGGGCACTGGGGGGACATCCCGCGTAGTTTTTAACCACATGACATCGGTGACAGCCGAATTTCAGTTCACCTAGAGAAGGCCTTGAGATATGGATGAAACAAAGCTCCAGTACAAGATTTAATTACAATTCCAACTTTATCCCATTTGGGAGTGTAGAAATTATGTTTTCTTTTCTTGTTTTATTAGAGTAAAAAGACTATTTTTTTAGATCTATTATCTACTTAACCTATTTTTGAATATCAGTTGAATGAAATATTTGAAAAAAAAANGTTTTGAATAGAGAGTTCACATGATCATAGTACCTTAGATGAAGCATTTTGGGCCCAGCAAAATCAAGAAAACAAAAATTGACATAATGCAAAATGTGAAATCTTGATGTTAAAAACCTGGATTACAATATTCAGAATTTTGATTCATTATTTTTCTTGATTTTAAGAATGCTTTGGTAGTGACGTAAATGTTTAGTTATTGCAGCATCTCATAAAAAAAATATCCTTCATCAACTCTTTGAAGAACATAAAATCCAAGCTGCTGAACACAAACACCTGGTTTATCTTCCTAATTGCGCCAAATCTTTTAAAGCCAGGTTCTTTAGCACCACAGCCTCGTCAGTCAGGTCTGTAAATGATGATATTCATAACAAAACAGAAATATATGTTATATTTTATTTCAGTGACTTTTTTTTCTTCATTTTTTATAGGTTATCAGTCAGGGACTTGTTTTGTGGGATTCAGTATTGCCTTCCAAATTATGGATTGAACAGAATATTCCACAGGTATAGCAGCAATGTTCCAAAAATACATTGTGGTTATTCATTATGGATAAGTCTTTCCAACCAAGGCATCCATTTCTTGGTTGACCACAGCATTGAGTGAAGGTCTTTTTTTTCTTTGTGTGTCTGTGTGAGAGAGAAAATGCAAGCCTGTTTCTGCCGATGAGCTAAAATTAAACATGCCAGAAAAACCAATGTGTTATAAGTGTTGGTGAAACTGGACCTCTATTGGGTGAAAGGTGATATAAAGATGCCTGTTCCACTCAACTTGATATGTTTTCAATTTGCTGTTGTCACGTCATTTGGTTTTGTCAGTGGTTTTGGTCTTCTAATCTTAAGAATGAAAATGAAATAAGATTGACAATATGTAATGTGAGTTTACATGGTGTAATCTAATGTCTTTACAGGTAATAAAAATGTATGCATTCAACAGGGATAAATACCAAAATGATCCAACCTGTGATACTGACTTTGAAACTATGAGGTATTTATTACAAATGATAGATGAATTTTTCATATTATCCAATACTATTTTGTCATATCCTTTCTAACATTTAGTCATTAAAAAAACAAGCTATGATATTGATTGTTTATCCAGATGGGAATCAGATTGGGAAATTTTATTCGTCCATTTGTTTTAAACTTAGATAAAGATGGAATGCTGTAATTAAATCTCATGCTCGAGCTGAAGTTAAAAATGAACATCACTGCCACTGATGTTTAAAACAAGAGACTCCTTGATCCTCGACAAGGAGGAGGACTGGTTCAAATGAGGAGTGAAAGGGTCATTCATGAGAGGATTGAATGCCCACCCTTGACATGCATGGCAGTCCTAGACTGGGTTCCCATAAACCTATTGTACTAGCAGGATCGATCTAACTCCGAGAGGATTCTCACTAAATTGCATTCAGTTTGAGCAGCTTAAATGTCTGTCATGCCCACTGAAGCTGCTAGGGGGGTAATTAGCTTTCCTGCACCCTTAAACTAAATGCAATTTAGTGAGAAACCCCTTGGAGATAGATCGATCCTGCTAATACGATCTGGTATGGAAATGGTCCCTGAAATACCAACCACTCTGATTGTGGGACTGGGCACTGGGGGGACATCCCGCGTAGTTTTTAACCACATGACATCGGTGACAGCCGAATTTCAGTTCACCTAGAGAAGGCCTTGAGATATGGATGAAACAAAGCTCCAGTACAAGATTTAATTACAATTCCAACTTTATCCCATTTGGGAGTGTAGAAATTATGTTTTCTTTTCTTGTTTTATTAGAGTAAAAAGACTATTTTTTTAGATCTATTATCTACTTAACCTATTTTTGAATATCAGTTGAATGAAATATTTGAAAAAAAAAAGGATTTTTGTGATAATCTAGTTAATTTCATGGTTTCTTTGCAGTCAAGCCTACTGCAACATCGTAGCTGGAGGATGCATGGCAATAGCACTGAAGTTTGCTGGATCAGCTAATCAAGAAGCATTTGAATGTTTGGTAAGGTTATGTTTTCCAAACTTAACTCAACAGACTTTCAAAACTGTGAACAAATTCATTGTTTTCTGTGAACTAGTTATATATTTGTTTTCTTAATTTACATCCTAATCAGCATTTTTACATGAAATTCATCTATTCTTTCTAATTAAGATATTAATATACTTTGAAATATGATATAGGAATATTAAGAAATATTTTTACTGAAATCTAGCTGGACTATGCAAAGGTGTTCATCCAGTATTTGAACACTGCCTCCTCCATTGAACAAGCTGGGAAGAGTAGCCTAGAAAGCTGCCTCATAGTGGTGGTACTGTCTTTGGCCATGGTAAGTTAAAACAGTCTGAGTGTTGATAATCTAGTCAGTTTTCTCTCTGCAGCCTGCTTCACATAATGAGGCAATAAAGCAAAGGTCAACTGTGCATGCTGTTTTATGTTGGTCTTTATTAGAACAACAGCCTAAGAAATGATTTAAATATTTTTTAAAAATATAATAATGATAATAATAGAATAAGCAGTGAGATAATGACCATTGTGACATTTTTTTTTTTTTTTAGCAGAATCCAGTACAAATTCCAAATGAATTGAAAACAATGGTAAATATCTAATACTGTCATGTACATTTATTGATAAGGTGATGGCTGGGACTGGTCATTTGGAGGTGTTAAGAATCTGCCGCCTGTTGAGGACCAGAGTGGGGCCAAGCTACAACTATGTCCTCTATGGCTCCCACATGGCAGTCAGCATGGCTGTGGGGCTGCTGTTTCTAGGTGGAGGAAGGTGAAATGAGGATACTTTTTCTTGTACTTTCATATATTTTTATTATGGAAAGGATGGGGAGATATATCATTTGCCAATTCAAGTGCCATTCAGATATTTTGTATTGAGGTATCCAAAAATTGAGAATAAGTAAGACGGAAAACGATGCTTTACAGTTATTAGATTAATGAGAAGCTCAGTTATGTGTTTGCTTTTTCACTTGGTGATGACAGTTGTTTTCTGTTGGCGTGGAGCAAAGTTTATCAATTATTTGTACATTTTACATTGTAGATATACTCTGAGCACCAAGCCAGAAGCTGTGGCTGCTATGCTGTGTGCTTTCTTCCCAAAGTTTCCCAATCACAGCAATGATAACAGGTGAGTCAAGGGAAACTGTTCATGGGATGTGCAGCTGTCCCACTTAAAATTAGATTTTATCGATTAAACTAGAGAAAGCTATTGAAGGTTTTATTTATTTATTTTATTTTATTTTATTTTATTTTTTTTTTATTTTTTTTTTTTTTGGCCGAACTTAACATCTGCTTAACAGTTTGTAACTGTGTTGTTTTGTTTATTGTAAGACTGGGAAAACCCAAAATTACAGTTTTTAAAAGATTTTAAATAATGATTTGAAAATAGTTTTTAAAGACCAATGATCTAAATAATTGCAGAACATTATTTGATGAACTCGGCATGTGTGGGTCATACTCATTTCATTTGCAATTGGCTCTTCACTTGACAGAAACTAGCTTTTTAATGGGTTGGAATTCTTAATATGAATTCCAGGTATCACCTTCAAGCTTTTAGGCATTTGTATGTGCTGGCTGCAGACTCGAGAATTCTTATCCCTCGAGATGTTGACACAGGCTGCCCAAGCTATGTTCCTCTACAAATTACTGTCAAGGTTGGTATCAATTACAAATTTATTTAATATATAAGCTTCTTCAGTATTGCCCTCAACCTTCTCCCTGTATAATGTTTTTGATTACTAGATCAAATCATTGTCATATTTTATGTCCAGAAGAGATTTAATGCCTGTGAGCCTAGTAATTTGTGTAAAATATCTGAGGTGATTGTTTGTTTGTCAGTTCATTTTTTTTCTCTCTCAAGAAATGCATTTTTTAAAAAAATCTTTGTATGTTTGATCTATTTTCAGCCATCTTCATCCTGTCCCCCCAAAGAGTATCAGGTCATGGCTCCTTGTTTATTACCGGAATTAAACCAACTGCAGCAGGTAATCCTGTACATTTAGCCTCCCGACCTCATTATCTTTAATTGGAAGAGCAGTGTGTTTACAGGAAATTAATAGATAAGGAAAACCCCATTGCAACACTTGAGTAGTAAGCTGTTCATGCCTGATATCCGGAGATCTTGTTTCAAGTATCAACCTTGAACTTTGTCAGCAGTAACAGCATGACATGCAGTTAGCATGACTTTTCCAACGTTATAGTAATATGCTGGGACTTGGCTTTTTCTTTATTCCTACACATTCTCACTAATTTGGATTTATTGGCAATACTACTTTTTAAATCTTTTAATTAAGTTTCATAAGATTAAGGATTTTATTATTATTATGGTTACCAAATCTTATTTATGAACTCTTATTTTGATTACATGAAAGTATTTGTGCTTGTCCTCTACATTCATGATGCTTAATCAATCTGTAACACACACACACACACACACACACACACACACACACACACACACACACACCAATTGAATTGGTTATATTATTAGAAGAGCTTTTAAGCCCACCCGTGTGTTGTTTTAATTGTAAAACCATCACTGAAAAGAATTCAGCATTGATGTTAAGAGAACAATACACAGCCACAATGGAAATTAGTATTCTTTAAAATACATTTTTATTTGCTCATAAAAATGATCATATAACCAAATAAAATTCCATTAGATCTGGCCAAAAAACATACATAAAATGTGCTTTAGTCTATAGATGTGAACTAAGTTGAAAGTTCATTATTACTGGATTTTTGTGCCTTACAAAGTCAGTATGATACAATGTGGGAAAAAAAGACTAACAATGGTAAGACAGAGTGGCCCCATTATTTTACTTGTACATGACAATGATCCATAGTATGTGATAAAAATAATTTAATGGCCATTGCTTGCCTATGAAAACACAATATGCTTTTCTCAGCAAAAAGATAATTACAATAACACTTCTTTCCTATATATCTTATTTACAGTGACCTAGAACTGTGAACTTTTCTGTATCATCTATCGTCTTGGATGAGGGAATAAAAGATATTACAAAACAGAACAAAAACAAAAAATCGACTGTGACAAGTCTCATTTGTCACTGCTTGGCATGGGCACATTAAAACCCAGTTGAATGTACTAGTGCAGTAATAAAATTTAACTAATTGCACATTAGATAATTTTTGGACTTAAAACAATGGTACTCTTATATCAAAGCAGAAAAAATCTGCATTTAGTTTACATTAGTAAGCAATATCAATAATAAAGATATTACACTCTGTGAGGTACCTAACTGGAGACCAAAGATGAGTTGTTTTTTTTTTTTCAATATAATCACACCGCCCAATTTATAGAATTAGGATCACTACTGTCATATCCAAAGATGTGAGCATACAGATTCTTTATTCGAAACCTTAAAAACTTGTTTCCGACCAAAATAATGATAACATCAAAAACTGGACCCATTCTCATTAAGAGAATAGCCAAGATGGATAGTACTCTTGGGTCACTTTCAGAGTTGGCCGCTGCTAGCCACATGAATCCGGGACATATAGCGGTCAGGCAGTGTTCGGTGAGGATCAGGAAAATCGTCTTTGTCAGTCTGAGTTGATACTTTACAATGTAATCGTTCATAGGTGTAGGGGTGCTGACCTCCAAGTTATCCTGAACAGGTGCCACTGTGGATCTCATCTTCTTAATTTTATAGAACAGCATCAAATATGAGCACAGCATGATAAGAGTAGACGGAGCATACAAAACAGGCAGGAGGAAGTTGAGCAGACTGCTCGTTGCTATTTTACAATTCAGGTCCATAGGTGTGTATTCAGGTGCTTCGTCCAACACTGCAAACTTGATAACAAGAAATAACATCAAGGGTAAAAGATACGATAGCGCAATCATACCCCTTGTGTACTTAGATGACTTGACCTTCCCAAAACAGCTCGGGTGCATGGTACTAATGTACCGTTGTAATGCCGTGGCACACAAGAGCAAGTTTGCCGTTGTTGTAAGGATTGCTGCCGCATATGCTGAATAGTCGCACAGTCCCCCCCCAAGCTCGTGGTCCTCAACAAGCAAGGATGCCATGTGCACTGGCATGACGAAGAAACAGAGTAAACTGTGTGTTGCTGATATGCTTGCAATCAGGTAGTAGGATGATTTAGGATGATCAGGCAGTCTTACAATTGTTACCATTGTGGAAAAATTTCCTATGCCTCCAATAACAATGCACAGGATAAGCACAATGAACACAATCACTGAAACAGAGACAGGTATTGGCCCAAACTCTGAACTGTCTGTACTGTTCTTGTAAAACGCTGAGGAATTTTCCATTTTGTTATACTATACTGATGAATGTTATTACAAAAGTGGAGCATGCACTGGTCTCTAATGCAAGCTACTTGGTTTCTGGCACCAAACCAGGGCTTTGTTGGATGATACATGGACATGTATGGCTTTGGTTTTCTTTTCTACCATGGTTGACGTAGGTAATTGCTCTTCAGGAGCTTTACTGAAATGAATGCTGAAACTGTGAGGAATGGCAAGACATAATTAGGATTCATTAGCAGTTGTGATGTTTATGGACAATTGTGTGGAGTCGGTCGCTGACTCCTTTGACCACAATGCGTTGTACAACAAGAAGGAAGTGAACTTTTAATTTGACAAGAATCCAATAATGGTTATGATTACACAATGACAATAAAGCTTGCTTATTTGAACCTGCTATCAAATTAGAAGACTTGTATATGCAATGTTGACCTTACATACTTATTTAAATGATAAATCTGATATTGCACATTTTGTTGTTTGAAGGGGCCTTTATGCAAAGGCAGCCCACTGTAATTCATTCAGATATGTCATAAATATCATTTGATCAATGTCAGGTTAATAATGCTTGAAGATGTTGTAGAAAACATTGACATATGAAGACATTGATGTTTGCCAATGCGTGTTATTAAAATAAACAGAAATGACAAAGAGCGCATTCAGAACTGATGATCGCCAGACTAACTGTTCTGCTGACTAAATATGCACGACCCCACTTAAAAAGCAAGCTGCTAATTCCCTGATGGTCTCCCCGCCTCCACATGTACCATGAAATGGATAAAATCTCGGCTCTGAGGTTTAATTGCTAGCCCCCTGCAATGACGGTGCGTGTGGAGGCAGGGAAACCATCAGGGAATTAGCAGCAGCACTTTTTAAGTGGGGTCAGCCATGTATAGTTGGCGGATCAAGTTAGTCCATGGATCATTTGTTTTGAATGTGCTCTAAAAAGAAAAAGGAATTAATGGTGATGGTGGAGCAAATGTCTGCCATTCCTATATAATCCACTCTCTTGCATAGACTCAAATAGTGGTTTCACTTTTAACAGCATCAATTCATTTTGAATTGCAATCTGTTGCTTAAGAAAATATTTTACAAAATTGGTAGTGAGCTGGAGGATTGCAAGAGCAAATAGGTGAAGTGATACTGCACTGAGAAGATATGTACAGTGTGTATAGCATAATGATGCATGCAAACTTTTCAGAGCACAAGTTAGGAAGTAGCACTCTTTATTTATTTATTTAATTATTCACAGAAGATGTAAAGATTTTTTAAAAACTACTGTAACTCTGCATATGCTTTAAAAAAAAATGAACCAAGCAAACTAAGTATTTATTTTTAAATATTTTTAGGTTGTTGTTACTGGAGAGCGGTATTGGCCAGTCTCTTTTTGCGCAGACCAAAATTGGAATAAACTACAGTGAGTGTGGTCAACCTGGGTATTCAAAATGTTTACGTTTATTCATCTGATAATACCTTTTTTATACACGAAACCAAATTTTATATCATGTGCATAGACATGTATATGGAAAACTTCTTAGATTTGTGGTAAATCTGTAAATATTTCACAACAGCATATAGTTAACTAAAGGTTTAGGTTACTTGTGCAATAACTTTGTTCTGATATTATTGATTTGTTTTACATTTTAGACACATATTAAGTACCAGCGGTACTCTGTATGTCAAGCAGAGGGCAGGCCACCTGACATATATGGAAGACCCAAAGGTACAGACAAAGACAACAAATTAGGCACAAAGTCACGATATATGTGAGCAGTGTGTTAATTGGATATTCCTTGAAGGAGCATTGTATTTTATGTATTGAGTTAAATAACTAGAAGTGCATGAATATAATTATCCTAGCCAACAACGCATCAAAATAAGGCAGTATAGTAATGTATGACAATGGGTCTTGCATATTTCAGGGATACCACAGCTTGTTAGCTAAATCATTTGTGAGTGATAAAGGTGGCCATCAGCGAGTGCAGGTAAATATTTTTTGAAACATTGCAGTTTTGTTAGTGACTGGGAAGGATGTTTTTTTTTTTTTTTTGAGGGTTCATTGTTTGAAATTCATTGGTGTTTACTGTCATTGAGCAAGAAAGTGATGCTAATAATGCAGAGGTTTTTTTAAAGTGAGTTTAGAAATAATGAGTCATATCATTACGGACCTTCCAGGCTGTTAAATAAATGTCTCCCTCTCCCCCCAAACCTCTATTTTCTCCATCTGATGGTGGTTTTGGATTCCATGCTTCAAACATCATGCATCTAAAAGCTGGTGTTTAAATCATTTTGCTTGAGTAAGTGGACAAAAGGTTTATTTTCACAGGCATCCCAGCCTTCATGTGTCAAAAAGGAAAAATTTTTTTATCAAAAAAAACTGTAGTTATCTTCTTGTGTTTTTATTCCTTTGTTGTACCTCGCTGGTGGTACATATGCAGGAGTGGGCATTTTCTCACACCCATTACTGTACACAATTTTTCTAATTTAAACAGAAAATTAATCCATTTAATCTGTTTAAATCATTAAAATGGGTATTTTATATGAAATATTAATGAGCTTAAACTTGGAATTTTTCCACTGAAATATTATTGTTTTTCTTCTAGCCTGAAGTTATCAAGTCGTTTACTTCAGATGCAAGGATTCTCTCATTTACAGAATCATTTTGCAAAGAGCATAGTGATCAGGTAAATAAAAATCCTCACAAAATTTTATTTGCAAAGACCTTAGTTATGATGATTTAATAAATTTATTCACCAATTCTGTCATTTTACAAGTTCTATTTAATCTCACAGTCACCTTTTACATGAGAGAGATTTGAAGTTCAAACCACAGTGTCATGTATGAACATATTAACTCTATTTGCCATTGTCATATGTAACTGGATCTGATTAGAATTAGATATGTTTGTAACTGAATCCACAATATTGTGTGACATATAAAAAAAAGATGTATTAGTATATCTAATTCAATATGATTTGGAGAATATTATTACAGATATGATTATAGATTCTGTGATAAAACCAGATTTGACTAGATAGATATGCTAAACTTTGTGACAAGAAACTGAAAATACACTAAAGGTCTGGAATGCTATTCACTATTATACACACAATTGGTTAATTGTTTCACTAACTGCACTCTTCTCAAGACACATGTGGGTGAGGATTTAGCTTTAAAAACAATTAGTTGATTGATTTTGGCAAACTAATATTTTTTCCTACATTTGATTTGGTTCTGTATCTTTTGAAATTTTGCATGTCAAGTCGTGCATTGCATTTTCTATACATATCATTTGACAGTGTTGTTTGTGTGATTTTTGATAGGTGGTGGAAACTAGCATCAGTTTCTAGTATGTGATGGCTTGGTCTGAATTTTGCTGAAGTTGAAATTTATTAGTTTTAAATAGACAATGTTTCTTCCATATTGGGTGTGGGATCTCAAAGGGATAACAACTGTTCGTAAGTTAATCAACTTATCCATATTTCACAATAAGTGCATCGTAAACGGCTTATAGAAATATAATAAATTCCATTTTACCACCAAAAACAGTTTGTGCATGCCATCACATGAAGTGACCTCCAAAGATATCTACACTCTGTAATAATCTCTTAAGAGAATATTACAGAAAACCAAACTTTTTAGAAAAAAAAACAGGGACTAACTTTGAATGTCAAAATGAATTCATTTACCATTGGTTAGTATGAGAAAATTGTCCTTTATCCCAGGAAAATTAATTTTTTGGCCAAAATGAACAGTTGTCATCTCTTTAAGGAATATATTTGAAACAAATGATAAAATCTACTTTGTAATTAGTCTAGCAACAATCCAATGTTATGATCTTGACCTAAAATCTTTCACAAGGAATTGATCCTAAGAAGTGGGTCTTATTGTTTGGGAATTGTCATCAGTGTCCCTTATACTTGTAATAGTTTAAAATAGAGACCCCTTACTTGATGCTTGATGGATTTTCCACTCACTGCCATATGATGCCTCTTCTCCAATTTTCCTTCTGTTCAAGTATGGCAAAGCTCTTGGCTGGTCCAGCTTTCCATGGTTTCTAGAAATTGGTCAAATTATTCAATTGATATATTTACATGCTTCCGTTAATTAATTTAACCTTACATCAAGTTTTTTTGTCATACAATGCCTGACTTCCCAAAAGCTAGTTTCAGTAGTATTCTCATTGATGTGATATACCTGGATATAATTGTGATCAGATTGTCATAATCTTTGGTATTGATTGCTCATAGGCAGGTGAACTAGTTGGCTTACACTGTTACAGGAAAACTGCAGCATATCAGTGGGGAGCGAGCTTTGAAATGAGAAGAAAAATAACTAAGTATTTCAAAATCATGTCTCACGTTGACCAGGCTACCCAAGGTTTATGGTTGTATTGATAGCTGCACATGCTTTAAAAAAACTTCCAAAAGTTCTAGAAAACACAAATGATGGCAAAGTTTTGATTAGAAATGTCCACATTTAAAATCTGTCACTGGCTGATCAGAAGGAAGTGTGACCTTGAGTGGGCACTGCATTCGCCTGACTTGAACCACCCAGATTTTTATATGTGGGGGTATTTCAAGGATAACGTGTACCAGAGCAAACTTCAAACAATTAGTGAACTGAAGGGCAGCAATCAGAGCAAAAATTTTGGGAAATTCCAAAGGAGGAATGTGTTAGAAAATTTGACAATTTTTTTGCCACATTTGCAAGTCTGCCGCCAATGTAGTGGAGGCTATTAGGAGCATATTTTTAAAAAGAACGTAACTTTTATTCAAAGTGACCAAAATAACAGAAACTGGGGAATGATCATGCACAATCTGAAGTTTATGTCCAGCAAATTTGTAGGATTTTTAAAAAGTTTTACGGGCTCTTTTTTTCTTTTTTCATCCTGTAATATTGTAGGAAGGTTTGTTACAACTGTTAATGTAACAAAGCAACAACTGCAATAAATGTTGTCACATTGTCAACTTCACTGGTAATGTTATGATACACAGATAATGTAACATCATTTTTGTTATGGTTAATGTGACAACATTTCCTAACTGTAATATGACAAGAATTTTAGTGGTCACTTTACGGTGAAAGCAGGCTCATTGAGTATTTTCTCTTATTTGAAAGAATATACCCTGTCTGGCAAATATTTTATGGCTTAAATATTTTAATTTTAATTCTAATTGACTTACTAATCTCAATGAATTTTATAATTCTATTAATGTATAAGTTTTAGTTTCATTTTCCACATAAACCATTACATTTCACAAACAGGATAAAAAAATAAGATGAGCCTTCTGTTGATTGCTTGTGTAAAAATCTTGAACTTCCGTGAGCTTTCAATTGATTGCACTCGATTCATGAGGTGATCAATAAAATGGTTGCCTTATAACATTAAGAAATGTCTCAACATTATTGGTCCAAGGATTGTCACATAAATCACAAAGTTATGTCGTGACGTTAGTGGTAAAGTAAGGTGTTAATAATGTTGGACATTGATAATGTGAAAACTGAAACATTAACAACTGTGAATAATGCACAATTATCAGTCCAGTGTTATGACATCAGTGGTAACAGGTGTGGATACATAGCAAGCAAGAGTTCATCTTTGTACATACCATTGGACGGATTCAAATTACTACAACCAGTTCCTTACAGAACTCTGATAATAACCGCATGTCAAAAAATAATCTAAATTATACACTCCATCAGCCAAAAAACAAATAAAATTCAAACTGCACAGTCTCCAAATTTCTGGCTGTTAAATTGTTCTTGTACTTATCCATTTAATACTTTTCTGTCCAGTTTTTAAGAAACCTGGGTTAGTTAACAAAAAATGAAAAACTTGGTGGAAAAAAAAAATGAAGAGATTGCATGGAATCCAGATTTACCCAGAACAAGTGATGTTTTGGTATGAGCAGTTGTATTAACATTTAGGAATAAAACACTAAGCTTGATAACATAAGTACTAATGTCCCAAAATAGAGTCACCAAGAATTATAGTAGACTTTTGTAATGTCATGAACAGGGAACAGCACCAGTCTGCACTAACAAGTATTCTCTTTCTCTTCAGATGTTTTTATCTCTATTTTGTGTTATCTCATATCTTCAGGAGGCAAATTTATTTGATTCAAATGAATTTGATTCTCTTGAAGATCAGACAAACCCTTTGGGTAAACTCAGAGTAGGGGTACTTTATATATATATATATATATATATATATATATATATATAAACTTATATTTATGCTTGTTCTGTTTGCTGCTGATAGAGTTTGTGAACTTTTTGCACAATGCATTTAAAACATACCCCTGAACTTTAGGTTCTTGGAGAAAAAGGGCTTTTCAACTGTTAGGAGATTGTGTGCCACAAGCATCTTACCATCACTAAAGCATTTGTAACAGGCGTCTTTCATTCATTCAATCATTCTTTTTTCCCTCATTTTCGTGATCCATAAACACAAGACAATGGAAGTGCTTTATTAGTGTTAAGCACAATCTGTATTGATTGTTGTAAGCCATTAATGCATATGTACTTATCATTAAAGTGATGCGTAATGTAAGAGATAAATCTACAAATTTAGTAAAAAGTCAATATTTTAAGTACTGAGAGAACTTCTGGAAAACATACATTTTTCAAATAACCCAAAGTTCTCATCTCTGGAAAATATGTACTGCTGTAATTTTTTTCTTTTGAAAACATTCCATGAATTTGGGGTCACATTAGAATAATGTTTATACCTGCCTGATGTTGACTTTCTTTTCTTTTCACAGGAATATCCTCAGACGTCAATGCTTTCTTCACTACTCCATGAATGTGTGACTCAGGAGAAACCAGAGATGCTGAGCATGTACATAGAGTTGCACCAGGTAAGTGCCATCAGTACATTGAAGTGCTTTTATAACACATGACACAAGTATTTGACACCTTGGCATGTTGTCATGAAAGCTCTTGTGCACGCAGATTTACACCAGAAGTCTAATTAGTCTCTTGTGTAAGTTAATTGATATTCTGGAAGCAGGTGTTGCTTTTCTAATAAAAAAAATGAAATAGATAGATAGGCATTGCATATATATATATATGTGTGTGGATTAAACAGAATTGAAAGAAAGATAATAACTGACATCAAGTTGAATGGTGAAGCAGATTTAAGAAGTCTCAAAATTTTCAGTTTTAATTAATAAACTCACATCCAGATAAAAAATTGGAATTTAAAATGGATTTTTTTTTTGTCATATCTAACTCTACCTGACAATAAGGTTTATGAATGCACAGTAATAAGTGTTAAAGTAAGCATAGTATGTTGTTGGTTCAATATAATGTAACTTCTAAATAAAAAAAAAATGCTCCTATGCCAGAAATGTGTCTCTATGTACCCAAATCTGATAACTAGAATTACAGTGCAGAAGTAGGTAAGCTTGAAGCAAAAAAAGGGAAGCAAGGCTAACCTTGTTGCTTCAGGACATTTGAAGGGAAAGTTTGACTGTATGCTTTGGGCTTCAAGTCGCCAAGTAATTGAAATCAAGTTTGGAGAAAACCCCTTATCCCAGTGGCAGAAAAACTCTTTATCCATGCCTATACCTGCCCTCGAAAGGAATGCCCAGAATAAATGTTACAATGAATGGTTTCATTTGGAAGGGCTTTTGGTTATGTTGCTGTGAATATGCACCTAACATATTCGCAAGACAAAGATAACACATCATTTGTAAGTAAGCCTTCAACTGTGCATGTAAAGAATCCTATGAATGAATCGTTTTATGCATATTTTGGTTTTTCCAGTCTGAATAGTATGGGTATACCACAGCAGGGAAGTTTAAATATCATCAGCATCGTTCAGAAGTTCTGTCAATGGTTTAAAATTACCAGTGTCTATCAGTGTCTAGAAGTTCATCAATAAAATGAATACTGATTTCTAATTTTGCATAGTTCATAATAAAAGTTAAGACTGGATGTGCTTTAGATCAGTTTTAAAACTTATGCCCAGTAGTGTAAATCCCCTGTTTATCTTATCAAGTCTTCTGTCTATGCATAGGATTTTTTTCCTAAACTTTAATGGATCCAACCGTGTGTGTGTGTGTTTCTAAAATCTGGACCAAAATTGAAATCTCTTAAAACACTGAGCTGAAATTTCCAGGACAGCTAGTTGCTTTCCAGAAAAACTAATGAAGCGTTTTTGCCATTTATCAAGAATTAATTTGTCTTCTATCTGTTTGTCAGAAAAGAAGATAACAGCTAGTTTATGAAAAATATAATAGGTAATGGTCCCTCAGCATGATTCACAAGAAATATCTGATATCTAACCAAATCAGAGCCTGGGGATTAACCGTTCTGGGAAGCCTAAATTCTTAGAATGGTAAATCTTCCAAAATCTTTGTTGTCTGGCTTCAAGTGAGCAAAAGGGTAGAAATACGTTTTACAAAGGCTTTCTAATTATAGAAACGGACTATAGTAATAAGTAAATGCAATCAGAGAAGAGTTTTTGTCACACCTCAAGTCCAGTTACATTGAACTGTCCAAAAATACAAACAAACATTCAACATTTGATGCTACTACACTTTTTAATTATACATGTTGATTTTAAATATAATTTTATTAATGATTGTATTTTTGAAGGTAATGTTTTGTTGATATTTCAGATTATTGGTAGTCTTTCACAGGGGTTGGATTCCATGAAATGCTGGCAGGTGAAGCTGGCTCTGGCTCTTTACAGAAGATTTGGGTCTGAGAGGAGGTTGCTGGCAACAGAATTCTTACTGGCTGCCGAGAGTAAAATAAATGTGATATTTGAGGAATGGTTGAAAGGTACTTACATTCAATTTTTTTAGCTCCTGCCTCTCCATTGTAAATGCTATCTGAAATGGCTTCTGTGTCCTTGACACCTTGTTAACATGATGGTTTTGGTTAAACTCTTGACTTTTCATGAGGTGTTCATCATCTGTCCAGACCAATAAAATTACCTAATTGATGCTTATTTTTAACTTAATTTAATTGCCCATGTTCTATGGATTCAGGAGCACGTAAAGTACTTTACGCAATATATTAGATGCAAAAATACCACATCTTCAATGTAAACAAGTTGGTAAATATTTCAAAATTGTTTCAGACACCATTCGGAAATCATCTCAACAATAATAGGGCACTTTTTCTCAGTTTGTATGCCTCTTTAACTAATATATACTACAGTTGTTTTTGTGTAGTCTTCCTATTTAATTTCAGTAGCTTATGTATTGAAATATATTTAATATAATGATGTTGCAGGTCATCCTTCTTCAGTGGCCAAGTACTTCAGCAGCCATCAGTGTGATGAATTTGTGGATGCCACTTTCCTGGGCACATTTTTGGTTTGGCATGATCTCCCTCTGCCAGGATATTTCCAAAACCAAGATTTGAAAGGTATTTCCCTAGGTTGCTTTCCTATCCCTCTGTGCATGTGTTTTTATGGACAGACACAGTATTTGGACATTTAACCACCTTTACCTACATTTGTCACTGCTATGCTCTTACCTCCTTAAAACAATAAAAGAAAAATACTTACAAGAATGATCTTTAGGACTAACATTCAGCTCAGCTGTGCAAACCAGTCTGATTTTTTTTTCTTTTTTAATTTTTTTTTTTTGTAAATTTTAAATTTTTTTGTTAATTTTAAATTTTCTGCGTGTGACTTGTGCGCATGTTAGTTAAAATTTCTAAATGTTCACATTAACAGTTGTACATCAAAATTGGTGGTGATGGTGCTGTTAAGCTTTATGCTACATTGCATCAAAATTGACAAAAACCCAGTTCTGTGCATTGTTATCATTTAAACCATTTTTATTAAAACTACTGAACTTATTGTTTCAAACTAATTAGAAGGATTCAAGGGACTAAGATACAGTTAGTTCCAAAAACCATTCATATTGGATAATTTTTCTCATTTCAATATTTCTTTCAAAAACTGTGACCCTGCAGATTACTTTAAGTTTGGAAATTGTTGTCAAGACCAAAAAAATTTTAGTTGCTGTATTATTTTGTCACTTATAGGTTCAAAGTGTTAAAGGCGGTCTGTCTATATATATATATATATATGAGTTTTAGCCTTATTTTCCTTTGTGTGTTTGTTTGCAATAGATTTTTAATTTTAAGAAGGCATACATTGTGCCCGGAAAATGGTAAAATTGCCTAGAAAATTAATATTTTTAGAGTATAACAAGCTCTTTTATGCCTTTAAAAGGCAAGTGCTATAGATTCTTATACTTTCTTTATGTCATGTTATTGATCTTTCTTATTGAAAATTTAATGCATCACAAATAAATAAAACACATTTAACATGCAGTTGTAGTTTTTGATATATAATTGCATTTTAATGCTTTTATATCCAAAATACAGTATTTGAACAAATCAAATTCATAGTTATATTTTCTATTCAGTAATGGAGAAATAAAATACAACACAATACAGAGTACTTTTAATGATAGGGTAACATTTAAGCACATTAAGGCTCTATTCCCATAGATTTTAGATCGATCTATCCCCACGGGGAGTCTCACTAGATTACTTTCAGATAATCTGACTTAAATGTCCGTCCCGCCTACTACAAGCTGTAAGGGGTTAATTAACTTTCGTGTCAGCCCGGCTGACAGCTATTTAGCGTGAACCCCCAGGGAGTTAGGTCGATCTAATCTATGGAAATGGGGTGTTAGATAATTGTCTTATTTTAGCACAATGTAATTTGCTTATACAGATTAATGACTGCAGTTGTATTCTAGTTGAAAACAAATGCGTTTTTGATTTATCCATTGGCAATGTTAAGTTTCATGAAGAGATGTTTTCATCATGGTTACTTATATTTCCAGCGCTCCAGGAATTTCCACAGTTCTATTCAGAATATAAGCAAACTGGACTGTCCATTGGAAGTTTGTTAAAATTGTTCAATGTTCTTCGGGGATGTCATCCATCTTGATAAGGGTGTCAACCATTACTTCCACCAGCACACAATTTTTACTTGGATACATATTCACAAGAACATATGAGGGAAAATATCCCAAAAGCTGAGTAATAGAAACATTGAAATATGAACATGTTAAAACAGAGTTCCACGGGATTTTTTTTCACACAATTTGAACTGAAACTTGGAAGATAAAGGTTCATCATATAAAAATCTTTGTTGAGGTCTGAAAATGAATTGGTTTCAATGTATACATACGTTGGAAAGATGGCAGAATTACTACAATCAGGTCAATAAATATAAAGATCTTCAATTGAATAAAATAGTTTAATTGGTCAATCAATTTTGTTTATGATGTACAATATAAGAAATAAATTCCAGATATTTTCAAAGTGTCATTTTGTGGTACATAGCACCTGGAAATCAAAGTCAGATCTTGCATTTTCCTCAGCTTAGGTACACTTTTTCTATTGAAAGCATAATGCCAGATTTGGATCAAGCTGTCTGATATTTCAGTCCAGTTTCCCTTTATGCTACATTTAATATCTGTTTGTAGCTTTTATACAAAAGAATAAATCCAAAATATCAATCCTATTTACACAGGTGTGTGTGACTTTATTTTACATTAAGGGTATCATATTTAACAGAAAAAGAAAGCAGTGTAGAAAGTCATTGTTAAGAGACATATTTGGATGAAAATGCATTTTGCTTTTGCGAATGTCATGCTTATTGCCTGGTTAGTTGTACCTTGAACAAATAAGAGAGATATGAAGTTTGAACAGGCTGAGTAGCTAGTCTCACCTAGCTTAATAATTTCACTAAGGAGCTTATTGGCCTTTGAGGCACTTTCTTTGTTTGGGAAGGAATCACCATCAGTATCAATTGTGATTAGTAAACCATCGATGTAATTGCAAGGGAACATGTTACAAACAAATTGGTATTGAAAAAATTTGAATAGACCTTTTGCTACAAAGTTCTTCCCCCAGGAGACTGGGAAATCATTGAGGAAAAGGCTAATAATTCATAATTTTGCCGATTAAATCAGAACCCACCTTCAAAAAATTTGAGATACTGTTCCGTAGTTTTTTCAACACCTATCCAATCACTAAAAAATATTGATAGTTGCCCTAGAGATAAAAATGAAAAGTTTCCACTTTCCCAACATGGTTGATATGCAATTATTGACTTAAAACCGTTAATCCTCCCTATATTATCACATTATTTTGATAATTTTGAAAATCCTTTGGTACTAATCTGCACATAAGTTGATTGCTATGTCTGCAGATATTTTATAACCAGAGCTCATTTTTTTTTTTATTAAAGAAGAAAGACATGCAACTTATGTCTTACACACCATTGCATTTCATATCAGCATATGCTTTTCCTAAAAGGCACACTGCCCATCCTCACTCCATCACATTTTTCAAGCAAGAACAATTTCCATTCAAACATGCAGTAACACCATGCCATATTTAACAGCACCAAACTTTCATTCAATAACAATGCCAATATCTATATGCGTACTAACTTCGCATGATACACTTCAGAGACAAATCAACCATTTTACAACCGTCATACATCATTACCAATTGCAATGGTCTTCAAAGTCACCCACATCACACGCTCATTGAGTCTGGAATTCCGATCTTTTTCTCACATTCATTTTACCTACACCCTCACCCTATGACAATTCATAAATCCACCATTCAAGACAAACTGAAGAAAGGATCACACTAAAGCACTCACCTTTCCTACTGCATGTCTCTGAATTGCCTCTTTGAAGCATGTAATACACACCTTGACATAAAGACACTCAAAACTAAATAGCACTTAACAGATGGCTTACCTTTTAGTTCTGGGTATCTGACTGTCTTAGTCTTAGTTTGTTTTGACTGTGACATTTACAAATCTCAATAGATATGATCAATGGAAAAAAATTATAATAGGTCTATAATTTCCCTTTTAACTCTGCTTATGATGTTAAATTTGGTGTTCTAGTGATTAAAAATATGTGGTTTGAAAATAGGATCATTGGGTTTCTTATTTAAGTAAAGAAAATTAACTAGACAGCAAGGCTGGCAAATATACAGACACTCAACAGAAAAGATGCAATTTCTATCACTCCATTTTAACATAAACAAGTATATTCCAGTAACAGTAAATTTTGTAAAATATAACCCTATCACATAGATATTCAAAAGAAACCTACCTCTTTACAAAAAAAAAAATAATAATAATTCATTTTGTACTAAAGGGGCAAAGGTTGCCAAAATACATGTAAAAAGGAAAAATCTATTTTTATAAAATAATGCTACAAAGGAACCTGCCTTTTTACCAAACAAAGTCATTCAGTAAATATCTGTTAAAAAACGATATGGTTTGTCAGTCAAAGGGTAAAAAACAGATGAGTCAGATGCAATCAGCACAGACAAAAACAGTGATCAGAATAAATACAGACACATGCAGTGTCTGTATATAAATATCTATTAAAATAAACATTATGTAATTGAAATAATTTTGTTTTTACAAAAATGTCGTCTTGACTAAATGAAATGTTGGTCAAATTAAAGGGATAATAACTCTTCGTATGAAATCTGTATTTCACAATAAAAACATTGTGAGTGACTCATAAAAATATAATATATTCTGTTTTCCCACAAAAACGGCTGTTATAGCTATTATTCTGATATCTGAGCTTGTCTTTAGACCACGTGACCTCCATTGATGGCTATACTCTGTTAAAATCTCTTAAGAGATTTTAACAAAAAAACAAACTTTTTAGAAAAAAACCAGGGACTAACTTTGAATGTAAAAATGGATTCATTAACCATTGGTAAGTGTGGGAAAATTGTTGTTTACTTCAGGAAAATTAATTTTTTGGCCGAAACGAAGAGTTATTATCACTTTAATAGAAAGATTAATTCTAGTGAAGTAATTATTGTATTTTAATAGAAAAGAAAACTTGTAGTGGTTTGATAAGCAGAAAATACTGCTAAGTAGGCATACCCTGGGCATACGTACCTATACAAGACTGGACTGTTGGAGTCCAGTGCCCAGATGGAAGGCAATTATAAGTCTGACCGGAAATTGCACCGCCAGCTAGAAAATGGCCACTATTGCAAATGAATTCAACCACAGTTCCTGCCAGTCGCTGGGTGGTGTTTACAGTTGCTGTTGATCCTACTGGCAACATTGGGCAAAAAGTGTCTGAAGCACAAGGTGATATATTATTATATATTTTAATATTGCTTGTATTATCCCATGACTAAACCATCTTTGTCTAACTTCTTAACTACCAAACAATGCTTTTGTTTTTTTGTTTTTGTTTTTAATTAACAGGGAGGTTATAAGGTTTGGCAAAACTTTGGTCAAGTTCTATAATCTATCATTAATGAAAGTACTGGCACTTTCTTGAGATATTTTAATTAGTTAAAATGTATTTTCCTGGCCAATTCCTGAGGTGTTTTAAGCTGCATTTTGCAAGGTCTTGTGTGGTAAAAGTGCAGATCAGGTTAATGAAGCAGAATAATTAGAAAAAACCCAAGGTAACTTGCAGGTATTTTTCTCTTACGTCTACCATGAATTGGCTTACATGTATGCACATGTAGTGTTGGTATTTGAGAGATACAATGAACAAAGGTTGTGATAATTAGACTTTTCAATGGGCAAAAATTATCAAACTTTCAGATATCTAATTCCATAATCACAAAATAACATTTCTATACATCATTTGTGGTGCTTTTACTGCATAGAATAGAATATTAAGAAACACGCTTTTAAATCTGTTGTAATGACTCAGTAGGAATGTTTTTATTTTATACGAAAATATGACTAAAAAAAATTATCTATAAAATTCACAATTTTCCCCCATTGAGAAGATTGAGTAATTAGTAATTACCGTACCTGTTCTGTACACTGCTGTCTTGCCAGTTCCCCCACACCACCAGAGCATGGTAAGTTGCAGGTTGCTGTATCCACAATTTTACCGGTGCTGTATGTCTGTCCACACTGACAGGTACTTCCCTCACTTAATCCTTTAAGTACAGAGATTCTTTGTGTGGATTTTTCTCTATTTAATTTTTTTAAAATTATATTTATTCATTTGGCACTATAACCCTTTTCACTACTATATGATCATCATCATCAAACAATATAAATGGGTATTGTAAATCAAATCTTTAAATTTTGTTGTTCTTTTATTTATTCATTATTAAATTTTAATAAATACTCTACAAATTGGCAAAGTTCTTTTAAGACACATGGTATAGGGAATTTGCAGTGGGCACATATTCTCAATATGCCTGAAACATGATGTCTGTTACATATGGTGATATGATGTTATAAGCCAATTAGGTATTAGTTGAAGTCAATTTGAATTGCAAATTTCCATACATACCAGCTAATGCATAGCCATTTTGTTTGCATTCTGAGATACATCTTTGTGCATAGTTATTTTCTGCCTGCTGTATACCAGCCAAACTCTGTGTGGCTCCTGTTCCATGGAGTCCACCATTACTTAATACACAGCCAACAAAGGTAGGGGCCTCTGATTGAAAGATGCAATTTTATGTTTTCCATTCTTAAAAATATTATTTAAAAATAATGATTGGTAAATTGATTACCCATTTCTCATTACAATATTGATTACATATTATTGCATATGAACCACAACAGTATGGCACATTATAAATTCACTGTAAAGAATATCTCTGTTCTTTTACATTAAGTTTGGTGATCAAAAAGCATCATTCAGGACAGTAAAGTTTTAAGAAAACCTGTGCAATTTTCCAGTGCAGTGGTGTTCCACTGGGCCTCCAGAGAACAAGTGACCTCCTGTACCAAGCCATCAGAACCTTCTATCTGGTAGCCAGGATTGCAGTGGTAGCTGATTCTGGATGTGACAACTGTGCCTTCATCAAGCACAACTAACGCATTCGTCACTGAGGGCCTGCTGCCACAATGCTTGGCTGTGAAAGGGTAATTTCGTAATATTTATTTATTATTCATCTTGCCAGCCTATTCCCATCAATTTTGTCAAGAAATTTGTTATCCCTGATATGGTAAAAAGTGAGGAGAGCAAACACTTTTGGTTTTGCTAGCATTTACCAAAACAAATTAATTTATTAAAATTGCTATAAATTGCAGTTACACCATATATGAATTAATCATCCTGAGACATACTTGTCTGATGCACCACTGACCCCACTAAACCTCTTTAAAGAAGCTATTCGTCAAATTAATTTGTTTATGTATCAAACAGTCAGGTTACATATTCCGGCAGAAAGACACTGAGCTATTTCACCATTTTTTTTACAAAATGTGAAATTCTAGCTCAGCAGGATGCCTTTAGGTTTGTTGGAGTCCAGAAAAAGGAGTGTACGACTGTCCACCCCAGGTAATTAGTAAGACATATGTATAGCCCTTGTGCCCTTGGTATAACAAATGTATACTTACGCTCACAGTGTACCAAAATATTGGTCCATGTCCCATCAGCCTGACAGGTGCTCTGTGTGAATATGGCTCCATTTGGAAGCTGATATCCATTATAACAAGTGTAGTTCACACGACTCCCATATCTGATGCCTCCTTGCACACTGGTGCTGTTTGCAACTGATGGTGGCGAGGTTGTGCAATTCACAACTAAAATTGAATAAGACATTCATTGTAATATCCCTCCGGTTTATTTTAATGGAATTTACTTGCTATCTTCAAAGGAGAAATTCATCCAATTGTTTTGAAAATATCAAAGTTGTAATAACCATCATAAGGAAAATGGTCCACTCCAAAAAAGTTTTTTTTCCTCTCATATGTAGTGTATCTTAAACAGTCAAAATGGTTGTTATCATGAAATACAAAGTTAACACAAATTAAACTTTTACTTTAAATTATTAGCAAATCAGAATGTCTCAAGCAGCTCAGCCCACCCCTGTACTGGTCGTTTCTCTTAAAAAAAAAAGGACTTACCCTGGCAATCTGGGGGTGTCTGTGTCCACTGTGCCTGTGCACATTGTATTGCTGTTATGTTCTCTGCATCAGATGGAAACATATATCCAGTATCACACTGATACCCAACCACAGAACCATGGGTTCTGGAAGTGCTGTTTGATCTGGCGTGAGATACTTGTGGAATGGGAGGGCATTGAGAATCTGCAATATAGGTTTTTAAAGCCACATGGATGATCATTGTACTTTGTAAGAGTCTAAAGTATAAATAAACAGATACATGTATGTACAAACACATTTTGGGGTTATCCTGTGTGTAGAACTTCCTTGGAAGTTGACTGAAAACTGAAGGAGATGGCCATACATAATTCTGTCAACAGAGTTTGACTGACAATCCAGCTGAAGGACACATAATCATTACTTGTATAAGTTGTATAGGATGGGAAGGATAGGAGATAAAAACAGTTTCTGTTCAATTGCTTAAAAATTAGAAAAAACATCATTAAAAAAACAAAGCTAAATAAAATGACTGGCAAAAATGTCAGAGAATTTTAATTATCTTGAATACACCTTTTTGTCCATCAATGTCACATATTTCATGTGAAAAAAAACCCTGCCTGAAAGTTGGAAAATATATTCCTTAAAGTCTAAATATTGTAAAATAAGGGGTAAAATTTAAACTGCATC